GGTCTAAAGAATACAAAGTTCCCTTACATCTGTAGTGGGGTCAGGTGGACGAAGCAGACTGACACTTGTTTACTGTCCAAGATTCTGAAATAAGACTCTCATTGTATTCACTCTCACTGAAATGGATCTTTTCCTTTATATTGATGTGGGGATTACACTTATGTATTTGTTCTGCTGGGGGTTTGCTCACTGAGTGGGTTCTCTCATATCTTTGCTTCTTCCAGAGAACATACCAGAAAAATGGACACCTGAAGTGAAACATTTTTGCCCAAATGTGCCTATCATCCTTGTAGGAAACAAGAAGGACTTGCGTAATGATGAACACACACGCAGAGAGTTGGCAAAGATGAAACAGGTATGGATCCATCCACACTTGTTTGCTTTTTTGAATGCAATTCTCCTATTCTTGAAGATAAAATACTGTGCAACTGTGGTTTAATTGTCTTGTTCATGTATTTATTGAAGCTTTCAGTGCCTTCTAATTCTAAGGGAAAAAACAGTCATTATCACTTGGGATCTTTACATTTAAGAGTAATTGTGTTTGTACAAGTATTGGTTGGTTATTTTTGCAAATAATCAACTTGAAGCAGTTTCCAGCTATCTCTCTTTGGTTAAGATAAACAGCCAGGCTGGCCTTTTGCCTCTGCTCTTAAATTTTCCTTCTAAACTTGAAGTCATGCAAGAGTTCTTGTGTTCTTTTTTAATAGCAACTTTCTCAATGTCCCTTCGAATTTATGTATAAGGTCACGTTCTGAGGAAATAAGGACCTTCAAATAAATTTCTGACTTAAAGCTAAACACCTTTGTGTTTCTTGACTCTCTTTGAATAGGAAGCTGTCAATATACGAAATTCAACATAATCTTAAAATATCAAAAAATTAAGGTACAATCAATATTCATTTCCTCCCATCTTTCTCACTGAATTCTGGGACTTAACAACCTATAGAAGTGACCACATTTACTTTTGAGAAATAGTACATCTGTTTAGTTATTTCTATTCTGAATTACCTGTAAACAATAATGCTTGAAGAAACTCGATTAAATTTAAACATGCCCTGGATTTTCCAGATGTTTTCTACCTTTCACATAGCCTTTGTAAATGTATTTTTTCATTGTCCATTCTTGTAGAACTAGATTCCTTCATTCCCTTCCATATCCTGTGGAAAATTCTAAGATGTAAATCTTTCATGAAGATTTACTGTTTGTAGTTTGACCTAATTAGTATTCCACCCTCATTTGGAATTATGGCTGATTAAAGAAGCTGTTGATTTTGCATTTCCAATTCTAAACAGTTGATCTTCCTTTGAAAAGTGAAATTTGAGTACAAATTGATGCTCCTCTTTAACCACCCCAGTGAAGTTTTTAATTTAGTTCTGGTTTGCTTTCTCAGGACACTTAAGCAAAAAGCTGAATCTTAAAAAAAGAGCTTGAAAATAAAATTAAGAAATATGTATTTTTGTTACCAATATTTGTATGTCTCTGAATTACATGTTATAGTTTGCTTTAACTGGTTGTTTTTGAACATCATGACAATCCAATTAGCATGAAAAAAATAGGGTACACATTAATAAATCCACAGGCTTTTCCAACAGTCCCTTTACCTTTTTTCAAGTCTAGCATTGTTTTTTTCCAGCTAGCATGGATAGGAAATTATTCTGGAAGCCCTGGCAACTAAAATTCCTGTGCTACTCTGGGTGCAAAACATGCTATTAACTCAGCTTGTATTTCCAAGAGGGTTTGGACTTGGCTCATGATTATCTGGTTATTTTTTTCAACAATGCCTTTAGAATGGGATTCAAAGGAAATTTGTCTTCTATATATGCCAAAATCCTACCCACAGTGTCACAAAGACATTAATGTCAAGTGTACTTTTTTATTTGATGACTGTTCCCTTCATCCCAATAGTGTGCAGCAGATAAGAACCCAATTTAGTGCTGCACTAAGGATTTATGCCATGGTTTCCTACACATCAATGTTACATATTGGGCCTTTGTCAGAATAATGGCCTCAATCCCAAACAGCTCTATGCCTGTTTTTTAAAAAATCAGCAGAGTCTCAGGGCTGTCTTGAGTTTATACTTCTTCTGTCATACCAGCAAAGTGCACAATGATAGTCTGAAAATATAAATTATTAAGTTATGTAATGTGTATGCTTCAGGTTGCAGCTACAAAGGAGGGACACCTGGCACAGTTCAGGAAGGGACCTTTTTCAGTATTGTGCTCACCTATTAGAACAGCATCCTATTGGCTTTAACTCTGTTGGCCTTTGTAATGACTTAAAAGCTTGGTTCTGGTCACTGGGTCTCGGGGCCAGAAAGTGGGGCTGCTGAACCTATCTATACATTGGCTATGTTAATTGTGATTGATGGATCCGTTTTTACTTCTGCTGCTGTTCAGTTGTTTCCTTGCATTTATTTTTATAAAAGCAATATGGGCAGTCATAGTTAAATTGAAATTATACTTTGCCAAAAGTTTTTGAGAACTTGCTGTGGTCATCATAAATGCTTTCTGACTGTCTGAGGAAAAGAAAAACAAACGATTAACAGGAAGTAAGTGCTGGGATTACCTTGGATTTTTCTATTGTTATATCAGGCAGTGCTAAATAATAATCAAACTCTTTTGCTTGTCATCATTTTTATGAAGGAGCCTGTGAAGCCGGAAGATGGCAGAGACATGGCAAACAGAATCAATGCTTTTGGCTACCTTGAATGCTCCGCCAAGACAAAGGATGGAGTGCGGGAAGTGTTTGAAATGGCCACCCGGGCTGCCCTGCAAGTCAGGAAGAACAAAAGGCGCAGAGGTTGCCTGCTCTTGTAAGAGTGTTGGCAAAAGTTGTGACTGTGCTGTTTGAAGCATGCACCTGTTCCACGGATTGCATGGAAGCAAGCATGGCATCTCAATAGATGGAAGAGTACAAATTTAATATGATAGTTGGCTGACTTCGGCCTCCAATCTTTTGCACATAAAAGGTACTCCAGGATACTACACAGCAGTGGACCGTAGGTCATTTTTTTGGGCAGCATGTCTATACCATAATTTTGTATGTTTGAAAAGTCAAAATAAATCACTTGAATCCGGTTTGTAACAATTTGGGTATAGGGCTAACAGTTTATATGACTTAATTCTATACTTCTTGCTCTTTTATACTAATTCTATAATTTGGTGCTTTGTATGGATTTTCACAGCTTTTATGTTTTCACAAATAACAGAAGGTAGATTTTTGGAATTCTGCAACATATGAAGCTGGACTACAAGCTAATGTATTTGCCAGTCTCCCTCCATGATCTGAAAGGCAAGGGGCTATGAATGTCTGGGAGGAATCAGCCTCTGTTGTGATTGGTGTTCTCTATTGCACTTCTGTCTGAGGAATACAGAATTGTGTTTTGGCAATACTATAGTCTCAGTTCCTTATTAAATTGATTTTATATGATTTGCCTTTTTTCTTTGTTCTTGAAGTCCTGCCAGCTAGATTAAGGTTGGGCACAGTTGGCTTTCCCATCTATTACAGAATAGCAAGTGTTGAAAGGAAAGGCCATTGTCGCTCTAAATACCGAGAGGAATAAACTTTGAATAATGTGCTTTGACTTTCATGAAATGCACTGAAGGGACTAGATTGTGTTTTATCTGGTGATCATCTGAACTGTATTTTTCAATAAGATTAGGTAAATGGGCATTTTTTAATGGCTTGGGGGAGGGGGGATTTTTTAATATCACAAAACAAAAGAAATATGTAATTGAAAGTAAGCCTGAATGGAATGAAACATTAAGTATAAAGTTTAAGGATGGAAGAGACATTCCATCTGGAGCTTTCTGGACATATGAGTGTAGATTTTTTTTCCAAACTGAAATGAGGAAAATGAAGTTGGAGTATTCATATTTCATGTCAATTTTAATGTCAATTTTAATAATAACTCCAAAACCTCAGAAATTCCATGAGAATGAAATGCATCTGATCAGCCAATGGCTATAGCAACAGATTGGTGGGTCAAAAAGATAATATTTTTTTTTAGGAACTGTTGTATCTTAAGCACCACAGCATCTGTCTAAGTAGTGGATATATTATGATATCTCTGTAAGCACAGCTGCACCAGGAACAGCGTAAAACACCAGCATTCTTCTTCTTCTGTTTACGTCATAGGATGGCAAACAGCCAAACACTTGCTATGGTTGGTGCATGGTGCCAGCTGCTCCCTAATCATGCAGATCTCGGAGGACCTACTGAATAACCATCACCAGCAATATAATGCACAGGACCACTTTTTAAACATACAGGAATAACAAGTGACTTAATGTGATAAAGGATATTCTTGTTCCTTTGAGACAATATAACTGCAGACGATTAGCTCTTTTCTATTGGCTAATCTAGGGGTAAAAAATATGTGCTTCTGAATTAAAGCAAGTCTTCTGCTTAAATAATTCTCTACCTAGTGCTATTCCCAAGGCTGAAAAGGTCCCAGCACTGAATAACACAAGAATGAAAGAAATTGAGTCAGAAGTCAAGGCATATTTCAAATGAAAACTAAATTCCATCAATATCTAAGAGGTCAGAAAGATTATCCCATCCAAAACCACATGGGGGTGGTGGTGGTTAATCTAAATTCAACACACCTGTGTAATGCCAGGCAGGGGGAGGAAACAGAAAATGGGCAACTTTGCCTCCCCTGTCATTTAATCTGTTATAGTTTTTTTAATCTTTTATATTCAACTTGGCTAACCAGAAGTAGATAAAAACTCAATTTCAGCACTTTGATAATAAGGGAGAAAAATAAGTCCTTCCTCCATACTGTGGTTCTGACTGATTCAGGCTGAGTCCTCAGAAAAGCTGAGCATCTGTCATGCTATGTATGATGCTGGCTAGGGAATTCTGGGAGTTAAAGTCCACAAGTCTTCAAGATGCCAAGTTTGAAGACCCCCTGCTTTAAGATAACGTCTTAAAAACTTCCCAAATTCTTTTTTGTGTTCATTTGGGTATAGGGCCAACAGTTTATATGACTTAATTCTATGTTGCTTTTTATACTAATTCTGTAATTTGGTGCTTGTATGGATTTTCACAGCTTTATGTTTTCACAAATAACAGAAGGAAGATTTGTGGAATTCTGCAACATATGAAGCTGGACTAGAAGCCAATGTATTTGTCAGTCTCCCTCCGTAACCTTGAAAGGCAAGGGGCTGCCAAAATCTTCATATGCATGCCTGGGAGAAATTAGCCTCTATTCTGATTAGTGTTCTCTTGCATTTTTGTCTGAGGGACACTGGCTTGTGCTTTGCCTTCAGTACAATATCGCAACAGGATATAGGTAGAAAATGATTTTTTAAAAACCCTGGTCCTTGATAACCCCCCATCCCGAAAAGGGGAAAGGATGAAACAAGAGAATTTTATAACTAATACAGAATCATGGTGCATATAATTAAATCTTATATATTTTAATAAATTTAGTACAAAAACTGGTTACATAAAATCTAAGTCTTGAGACTAACAAGTTTTGATAAGTTTCCCTCTCCCCAAAATTCTTCATAATCTCTACTCATAATCTCTTTGAAATATCAAAAATATTTCAATTACCATTCCTGTAATTTAATTCCTCAGACCTACCCAACATGTGCTCATATGCACTTGTTCTCAGCATAACAAATGTGTAGCCACTCATGAAAGAATACATAATTCAGTCGCTATTGGTAACCACACATGAACTTGTATCTCATTAATTTTTTTTTTTTTAAGCAGAGAATTTTGAGAACCCTGATATTTACTCCTGAGAAATAGAAGGTATGAAGATCAAATAAAATTTGGCTACTTGTCTTCTCTGTCAATCTTGCCGAAAGGATCAAGAAGGCAGCATTCACCAGGATTGTGCTTAAGACACAGCACTAGTTTCAATGTTCATATCTCCACTGTGGCTCCACTTGCTGCTGGATATAACTATCTTGTAAGCCGTTATCTGTAGATAAGATAATTAGGTGAAGCAGGTAGGCGGATAGAAAGGAGAAGGAAATCTATTTGCTATCCTTGCACTGACCAAGCAGCCTTTCTGAACATTTAAAGGGGTACACTTAACTCTTGTTCTCCAAGATGCATAAAGTTTCAGTGTAGAAAGGTTAAAGACTGCAAGCAAGTTGGATTTTGGCTGGATATCAGTTGTCAGTCTATGTAATGCTTATAAAAGAACAACATCATCCCTTAAACAATGACATTCCAATTTCCCATCCCCTTTAAACACTTGAGGCAATTCACAAGAGCTTCCTCTTCCTAGCTGCTGATCACGGGATTCTGAGAACCAGTAAAATCTAATCAAATCACGCCAGCCTATGAGCCATCAATACTATCACCAGCCAATACGGAAGTTGAAAAATCATCATTTGGCCAATGCTGTGGCTTCCAAGCAGAGGGCTAACAAAAATATTCCCTCCCCCACACCACACAGTATGGGCACAATTGCCAACTCTAATCTCTAATTGGTCCACACCCTCCCATTTTGCAAGCCAAAAAGTTGATAGGATGTCTCCAGAGTTCATTCTTCCTGAGATTAATACTGCAAAAATTCATGCTTCATGCATACAGGACAAAGGGAGTTGGTTATAATTATTGTACAACTGAGTAGCAACTGAGTAAAAATTACAACATTGACTCGTGACCTAATATTATTGCAATTTGACTTGCATTTAAGAGTACTGTTAAATGCTTATTTCATGGGCAGAATATTTCCTACTTCTTGCTTTTGGCTTCCTTCAACTTAAGGTTGTTCAACTTAGCCCCATTTTTCCTTAATTTGAGGGCTGACTCTCCCTTCTCTTCCCCCAAGTCCACCAATCTGAAAATGAACAAGTTAAATTGGCTCTCTTCCAAACATCCAAAGGATGACTAACAATTAAAGGTTGCTTTCAACACTGCAGTCCTTTCCTTACCTGCTGGCTGATCATTTATGTTGAGAGCAGACAGCGCTGCTATTGGCAACTCATCCTCTACTTCACTGTGTTTATATCCCTTCCAAGCTTGGTTGCGTTTGCAGTATTTAAGAAACCTGTGGACATAGTTGAAGTATTAATCCAATTAAGGCAGATCAGAATTTGGAATGGGAAAACAGGATACATTTGGACTTAAACAACTCACACTTTTGAGAACTACTTACAGAAGTGACAGTCCCAAAGGTGCCCCCTCAGGAGGCAACTGGACTTTCCTATTTTTTCTTTGAAGAATCTCTAAAAACAGGAAAGTTCATTTACCTCTTAAAGGGGCACCTTTGGGACAACCATGATTTGGATGACTGAGAATCTCTACAGACTTTTAGCTACACAGTTTGTAATGAACACCCTTTCAACAATGTGGGAGTAGGAATGAATTTCCAGAGGGAGAAAAAATTGCAGACTACAGGAACCAGGAGCACTACTCAGGTGACTCTGAGGACACAGGTAAACCTCCAAGTGCTTCAACAACATTCTAAAAGAATGCAAATGACGAGCTGTCTCCAAGGAATATAAATCCTTCCATTCACGGCTATTCTGTCAGAGCTGAAGAAGCTTCTTGGATGAGAAGCGAAAAGAAAACAAAGTCCAGTTGCCTCCTGAAAAAAACACCTTTGGGACAATCATGACCTAGATGACTGAGAATCTCTACAGACTTACAGAAGTGGCAGGGTCACTGAGGCAGTCATGGATCAACTATATGAGATTCCAGATGGCAAATAAACCTTTCAATACAGGTTTTATGAGACTTCTCAAGCTGAAGACTGTAGGAATAGATAATACTGGGGTATGTAGCACTTCCATGTCATAGAAGTATAGAATCTAGATGAAATATTGATTCCTTCTTTTCATGTAGCACCAGGCACTGTAACTTAGCAATTCTTTACCTGAAAATCTCAAAAGAATCTCTAGCACTGCTTATTCAGTTGCGCCTCTGATTCACTGCAGGAGGAAAAAAAAAATTACTAGCTGGGCAAAGACATGAGGAATAAGGAGGTCAACACTTACTCATTCCAATATGGATCCTTGCTTAGTGTAGTTGGGTTGCCTATAATGATCAAGAGCGCCTTAGCTCTTGTAAGGGACACATTCAGGCGCTGAACATGAAAAGGAGTAGTGATACAAAAAGAGAAAAAGTTAGCATCTTAGATCACTGGTAAAGAATTCCACATACTATAAAACGTTCAAGTATTGAGATACAGATTTCATAATTGTCACTTAAAGATGATAAAAAGTTTCCTTAATTTCCACTCCTACATCTCCTAACTGAATCTTCTGGATATTCTAAGAAATAGCCTTTATCTAATACAAAACTACTACAACAGGGGTTTCATTCCCAAATTGGTGATGTTTGGTTTTCCTTAGTTAAGAAGCTGAACTAAGAATGGAGGAAACGGGGTTTTAGTCCCACTTTTGGCACAAACAGGGTGACTTTACGCCAGTTTAACAACTTTTCAGCGGCCAAATAGTGAAGTTACAGTAATGCTGAACAAAGGGACTTATGACCTAGTCACCATGCCTGGAATGTCTTGGCCCGTTACAGAGCTGAGCATAAATTGCTGCATTTTGTATTTTCCCGCAGCTGCTGACCAGCACACCTAGCCAATGTGAGATATGTTTTTCCTACAGAGGCCATCTCATGCCATTCTGCAAGCAAGGGCCATTTATATCATTCAGCATGCATAATTTGGGGGAGGAAAGCCTTAATGATCATGACAATGGTGCCCACTTGTAGAGTGGTGCAAGGCATCATCTGTAGGAAGGGTGCCTGTTAGTAGCTGCAGAAAAACACAAAGGTGCAAGTGAAACAATTTACACGCACTGCTGGGCCTGGTGACCAGTCAAGGCATCCCAGGTGTGGTGAGGTGTGGGGAAGGCCTGGATCTCTCTGTCTGCAGCAGGTTTCCACACACTGGTGAACTCTAATCAACCACGTTCTCCCAAGCTTGTGATAGGGAGCAGGCCATAGCATCCAAAGTTACAGCAGGAACCTACATGTCAGTAGGCCCTGTAGCAGCCAAGGCCTTCCAGACCATGGCATGTTTCTATGCACAAGTGGGCCCTACAGCTTGTGCTGGGACACCCAAGGCCACCCTTGCCCCTTAATGATAACTGGGAGAGTCAAAATTATGGTTGAGTGAAGCAGTCAAGTGATATCTCACTTAATGACTCCTTCACTCAATTAGCAATGATTCTGGTCCCAGTTATGTTTATAATTTGAGGTCTATCTGTACTTCTAAAACAGTTGCTAAGAAAATGGCAGGAACTTATCCATATGGTTGCTATGGATCCAGACAGAGAATAAAAAACAGTCTAGAACTTAACTAAGGATCACCACCTGGTGGTAACAGAAGAGCTAAGAAACTCCTACTTTGCAGAGCTTCAGGTTATATTAGCTTTTGTTCTAAAATGCTTTGATAAATCATACTTTGCTCATACCATAAAGGTGTTTAAAGAAAGTTGTAAAAATGTCAACTGATGAAATTCCTGTGTAAAGCACACACGGTCCTGCTCTAAAAGAGCTATTAGATTTATAGTAGTCTTAGCAGTCTTATATCACTGGTTTTGAAGCATCAGAAGAGAGTAGATGATGTTAATAATCCTTTCCTGAAATTCTTCCTATATTTCTAGGACAAACTGGAGCTATAGAAATATGATATGGGGATACGTGAAAGTATATACTAACCCATGGTTTATTTATCCAAGGTTTCTTAAATAATCAGAAATGGCTTGAATCACACATTAAGTTATAAACAATAAATTTACTAGACAAATCTGGGCATGTACAAAAACACAAAATAAATTACATTTTGTTATAGTTTCTCTAATGGCCCCTCAAAAGGAAAAGCCACTTGGGAGGATATATTTCTGGACTGTTCTGGTCCCATAAAAAGGCCAATCAGTCCCGGGTGTGCTAAAGATTATATAGCATGTGAGAGATCAATGTGATACCTTGGGATTATTGAGGAAACCAAGGTTGAACTCTTCATCCATTCCGAAGTAATTGCTGCTACTGCGTACTGTTGAAATGAGCACCACGCGACGCTCCTGACCCTGGAATTCTTCCACAGAGCCCACCTGAGGTGCAGAAACATAAAAGAATTCTAGCTAGGATGCAGGAGTTATGGAACTCCAGAGTGATAGATGGGCTTAGTGGGGCGCTTTTTCCTTTCATTACAACTGGGTTTCCCAAACTGTGAAGCACATAAGTAGCCTTTGTTAAATAACATCTCACTCAATGGCACTGAATGAGCTGGACTTACAATGGGTTCTAGACATTCTAGCCATCATGGCATCCCAACTTGCAGTCACATGATCACGATTGGGGCACATGGCAACTAGCTTGCAATTAGGATGTTACAGCATCCTGCAATTAGATGATCACCATTCGGGATCTTCACTGCTAACTTCCAACAAGCAAGGTCATCTAGAAACTGGCAAGAGATTGCAAATAGCAATCACCGGACAATGGGATGCTGTAACCATGTGGGATTTGCTTAATGGCAGCAACTGGGATTGCCGCAACTGCCATTGTTAAGTTAGCACAGTCACATAGCTTCAGGGTAAAGAACAGCGTCACTTAATGACTGAATTCCCAGACCCAATTACCACAGTTAAGTGAGGACTACCCTCGAGGAGGTGCAGACAGGGAAGATGTGAAGAACCTTTTATAGTACATTGTTACAATAAATCCACCTTTCCCAAAGTTCCACTGTATTTTCATTGTTCATGTGTGTTCATCCTGGTTTCTGAATGTTTAACATGAGTATGTATCTTAAATTTACAGTAAAGGCTGATATGATTGTTGGATCTTAATAACTGAAGGATTTTTTTTAAAAAAAATAGAAAAATCCAACTGATGCTATGCATGCATGGTTATTGCAGTATATTAGGTCCTACCTGGTCATACCAATGTAGGACATAACAGTACATAATCAAGGCTCTCTTGGTCCAGATCTTACCTTTAGTTCGTTGATATTCATCAGGTCCTTTAATTTCATATTTATGGCCTGTCTTATCTTCTCTACCTAAGCAGAAAGAGAAATTAGTGTATCATTAGTCCTTAGTTCAATTATTGGTCCTCGGTGGAGATAAAATCTTTGTAATGCTGATTCTTTATTTATTCAATGCCAATTGCAGGTGTGAAACACTTGCCTTTTTTCCTTTATCTTAAGTACATACATGTCTGTGCTTTCTTTTTCAGTGTTACAGTATATGCTGGGAACAAAGGAAGTATAAAACAATTATCTTACTTCCAAGTCCATAAACATCTAAGCATTTTTCCAGCAATGCTGAAATATTTAAAACTATAGTGCGTTTTAATATCAAAAGTATAAAAATATTGGATGCATATGGCACTATAATGCTATTCAAAGCACACATATGGAGAACATGAGGCATAATGTAGGATATTTGCAAATTGTCAAAACAAATCCCATGTCTGGAATAACGTCTGATGCATTTTTGATGTCATGGCTGTAAATTCTGGCTCATCTATGTTACAGATTACATCCTCCTGAAAATTACAGGCATGGAAGCCATTGAGGAAACTTCTGGTTACATCAGACAAAGGATATTTTGACCACGTGAAGAAACCATGGGTTTACCATTCCTGAAAGAAGAGAGTCTAGTTTAGTCAGCTGAGGAAGGTCCCACCTGTTTTCTGTATGGGGAGATGACCCCAATCTCTTTGGGAAGAGTTTTGATTCCTTTTTTGCCCTGATTTTCTAGAAGTAGTTTCTTGAGATAATCCATCAACACACTAATCTCAGCAGTATTAAAAAATGAAGGGCTCCTCCCTTCCTGCTGGTCTTCCCCACAGACCCCATGGAAGATGATAGGAAATTTCTGCAAGAAAGGGGAAAAAATAACCTTAAGTATTTCACAATACATGTATGTGATTATGCAAATGTGATCCTGCTCAATGTATAAAGCTCCTCACCGCCTTGGGCAGTTCATTCCAGTAGCAGTAGGAATGAGTAATTAGGTGATCACCACATTCCAGGAGCTTTCCATCATAAAATTTTTCATTGGAGAATCTGAGGATGTCTTCATGAGACCTGGAATTGAAGGCTGAAGTTTTAGCATCTAAGCAAACTTGAACAACTTACAAGAGAGAGGATGATGTTTTCTTTATCTCCTGCCAGAGATTAGAACCTGAAGGCCTGGGTTGCCTGCTTTTGTGCTACTCCAGGCTCTCTAGACCGCATGGTCAAGTCTATCAGAGATAACCCCCATCTACAAAACTGGAAAAGCAAGCCCTTTCTTCATAAGCATATCTATGGAGAAGAATGAGCAAAGAACAGGATAGAACTTTGTACATGGAATGCACAGTGCCTTTCCATATGTATTATAAATAGAATAACGGAATTGGAAGAGACCTTGGAGGTCTTCTAGTTCAACTCCCTGCTTAGGCAGAAAAGCCTACACCATTTCAGACAGGTGGTTATCCAATCTCTTCTTTAAAACTTCCAGTGTTGGACCATTTACAACTTCTGGAGGCAAGTTGTTCTACTGGTTCACTGTTCTGTCAGGAAATAATCTCAGAAATGTTCTGCAATTATGTTCTAAAAAGCTGCACTCTTTCCAAGGCACTTATACGTCTGCCTAGCTGAGATTTTAGACAACATACATAAATAAATCAATTGAAGTCGTACCTGTTCCATTTTCATAACATGCTGATCTTACTTACCTTTTTATAGCTGAACTCAGTCTAGTTAATTTGTGATTTGATATCACAGTAGTATGCGAACTGAATCCAGGTAATTCAGTAACTAAGTTAGGCATGCAGGGTAAATGAAGTTCTGTGATTTAGGGTGAACAGAGAATTTTATAAAAGCTACATGATATTGTTCACCTAGGCACTTATATTATTACAGGTAGCCCTTGATTTACAACCAATTATTTAACAATCATCCGATATTACAACTCTCAGACCATAGGGTGCAAATTATTATTGAAAACTGTCACTGGAGAAATTTCCAAAGTAGAAATCCCACTCATTCAGCCAATGTCATGGAGGAATTTATGGCAAAAACCTACTTTTGATTTTGACAGGAAATTAGAGCATGGAATGTACCTGTAATTACGCAGAAGCATAGTGACAAATTGTGGGTTGTATTTTTCATTTGTCTTTTGGTATAATGGGTTGAAGCACATCAGCCTTTCCAGCAAAGAAAGTCCTACAAAAGCAAAAATGTCTCATAAGCATTGAAAAATTAGGACAGTTTGTCCCTCTACACAACTTCCCTTTCTTAGAGCAGTAAAACAATCCAGTCTAGGGGAAAATCCTATGGGCTAATTACTTCTAGAAACAACAAGATGACTATCTCTCTAATCAATATAGAATACTCCTAAAATTTCAGCCAAGGTAACTAACATATAACATACATTCCTGGAGCATTTTGTGGATATTTTTATTTAGTTAGTTATTGAGTTATTTGTCAAGCAAGTATTAGATAACAGGTATAAGTATAAACATGGTTATGAATACATGAAATGGATACGAATAAAAAAAGAAACAATAGGACAGGAACAGTAGGCACCTTGGTGCACTTATGCACGCTCCCTATAGACCTCTTCCCTGGGGTGAGGTCAATAGTAGACAGTCTAAGGTTAAAGTTTTTGGGGTTGGGGAAGAAACCACAGAGTCAGATAGAGTATTCCAGACATTGACCACTCTGTTGCTGAAGTCGTATTTCCTGCAATCAAGTTTGGTGCGGTTAACCTTGAGTTTGTATCTATTGTGTGCTCTTGTATTGTTGTGGTTGAAGCTGAAGTATTCATTGACAGGTAGGATATTGCAGTAGATAATTTTATGTACTATACTTAGATCGGATCGAAGGCGGCATAGTTCTAAGTTGTCTAGGTCTAAAATTTCAAGTCTGGTGGTATAAGGTATTCTGCTACGAGTAGAGGAGTGGAGAACTTTCTTAATTTGAAACAATCTTAAACCACATAGGTAGAATTTCTTAAGAAGACTTTACCACTGCTCGTATCCTTTGCAATGAAACAACCACTTCAGAGACATCATTAATTAAGTCTAAAGACAAACTGAAATGGGATTCATGGAAGACAGTAGAGTTCCCCATTACATATAAGCTGGGTTGACAAAATCATAAATGAGATGATAAACTGCCTGGGAAAACCAAAGGAAATCATCAAAACCATAAAAAAGCAAAAGTTAGAATATTTTGGACATGTGATGCGACACCTAGAAAAATACAGCATACTTCAACTTAATCTTCCAGGGAAAGGTTGAAGGCAAACAAGATCCAGGCAGAAGAAGAACATCATGGCTTCAAAATCTAAGGGACTGGTTTGGACAAAACTCAGCAACACTTTTTCATGTAGCTGTTGATAAAAATAGGATTGCCAACATGATCGCCAACGTCCAATGATGGATATGGCACAAGAAGTGGAAATAGAGTTCCCTCAGAGCTATTTTTGAAACAGACATCACTAGCACTATGGTTATTCAATGGTAATGTGAGAGTTCAATGGCTTTACATTTTTTTACATTTGTTCTTTACCGTTAAATAGCTATTTTGCATCATATAAATTGTTACATTAAAATATGACTTGCCCAAGCCATGTTGAACTGCCAGAGGAGATCTCAAAATTGGTCCTAGTTGCTTGGGATCTCCTGCCAAAACCAGCTGACCTCCATTGACATTTGTCTTTGGGTCCATCATGTCAAGAATACCTGAAAGAGAGATGGAAATCTATTTGCTTTGTTAGCATTTCTTCTCCTTTCCCCCCCAAAGTTTGCTAGGTTGCTTACTTAAAATATAAAAACCATTCATATTAAAACATGCACATGGAATAAGATAAAGCAACATTAAAAATGAGAAAACAAGTACTAAATATTAGCACTTATAAAAAGCTAAAAAGAGGAAATAAAAAACACTAAGCAAACAAATAGCCTTTCAACATACAACAGAAATATCTACAGTAAGAACTCTTAGGTTTTTTTAAAAAAAATTTTTGCTGCCCATCTTGTTGTGGGGCTACTCTAGGCAGCTTACAATGGTAGAATGCAAAATTATAATGTAAATATAACAATAGGAAAACAAAGAAACTATAAACATACAACAATATGAATTAAAAAATGGACTGAGCTGGAATAGGATGCATAAACGGAGAGAGTGGGACCTGTTATTAGTCTAATAGCTACCTCCACTGTGATACTCTCCTATTGAGTCTCCAAGCCAATTGATAGAGCCAGATCTTCAGGCTCTTACAGAAGGACAGGGGGGTGGGGGTAGGCCTTACTCCAGGGGCTAGAATGTTCCAAGGGGACGGCACTACAGCAGAGAAGGTTCTTTTCTTAGATCCCGCCAATGGAGTTCTTTGACTGATGGGATCTATTACAGTCCTCCTCTGTCAGCACAATTGGGAAAGGCCTGTCCTAGCGGCCCATTTCACAAAGTTTCCCTTTGTGAGTTGTTTAACAATAGGCAAAGATTATTCCTATTTCCACATCACAACTAATAAGTATTAAAACCTAGAACTGATCAGCTCCACAACTGCTAGTTTGTTAGTTGTTGGTAAGAAGCTAACGCAATGTGCTAAATGCTGCTGGAAGGCTTTATTATAAACACAAACTGCCATTCAAAACATTCTGTATCTTCAACAGCAGAACATTCAAATATCTAGAAATGGACTTCCTCAACCTTCCCCAGGGACTCCGTCTCTCCAAAACATAGATTACTAGAAATTCTGGAACCACAACTACCAACACTTCTGGCAAATGCCAGACTGGGGAAGTGCAAGTTAGTTGACAAGAACCAGAGCGAAGATATATGACAATATTCTCATCACCTGGTAGATGATATATCATTTCCATTCGGTCCTACTGAAAATGAACATGCTCGTCTTGTGTAGAAGAGAAAGGGATCAAAAGCTACAGAAAAGTTATTCCTCACCTGAAATGGCAATCAGGCTCTCTGGTTCCACAGCATGGCCACTCTCATCAATAAAGACATGAGAAAAATGTCCTTGAGGGAAATCAGCTGAAGCCAATCTAATTAAAAGAGATATACAAAAATCTTTGAACACATGCAGAAATATTCAGCTTTCCAGGAAAAGCACTATTACCTTAGGTCCATGGTGGTGAACCTATGGTACGCATACCTAAAGTGGCACGCAGAGCTACCTCTCCGGGAACACCAGCTGTCACCCATTGCTCTTCAGGTTCTGGTGTGTCTCTGGTCTTTGAGCGTGGAGGGGCGCTGGAAACAGGAAGACCAGGTGGCTGTGCATATGAGCGTGCTGAGAAGCTGAACTTCTGGTTTCCAGCACGCATATGTGCTCCGGCCAGCTGGTCTTCGTGCATGCATGTATGCCAGAAACCAGATCAGGTGGCACGTGCGCACTGGAAACCAGAAACTCAGCTTCCTGGCATGCACATGCACGCCGGGGAGCTGCTTTTCTGGTTTTTGGCACTTCCGTGGGTGCGGGTACATGTTTTTGTGTCGGCACTTGGTGTCAAAAAGGTTTGCCAACACTGCCCTAGGTCCTCTCTTGTGTGAAAATGACCTTTTCCCCTAAATCATGTGAAAACTCTCTGCAGGAAAATAAAACCTTTAAAACTCCTTATTTATCCTTTAAACTAATTTTGGCATCCTTTACCAAGAGACTTTGAGGAAATATTCATTTCTTTCCCACCTCTCGTGTGGGCAAGAATTCGTAGAACTGTGATCCTTGTTCCTCTTGCAGCAATCACACTGAGGAAGGGTAGTCTAATATTACTTATTTGGTTAAATTTATATACTGCATCTCTCCCAGGAGTTTGTGAGATTTTCTTGGTTGCAATACTCCTCAAGTACTTTTCTCCACAAAAAAGAACCCTTTAGAGCTGTGTTTCTCAAACCCAGCAATTTTTAAGATGTATGAACTTCAACTCCCAAAACTCCCTGGTCAGCATGCTGACTGGGGAATTCTGGGAATTGAAATCTATACAGCTTCAAGTAGTTGAAGTTGAGAAACATTATTCAAGCTAAGAGATTGTTATGTCCCTGGAGCTTAAAGAGGTTCCCACCCAGGTCCGTTCGCGCTGCAGGGGCGGTTGCCCTCTCTCATTGGCTGGTTCTCCCCAGAAGCCAGCTATAAAAGCAGGCTGCGGGGTCCAACCAGTCGCTGATCGCTGCGAGCCAGTTCCAGGTTTGGCAAGCACGTTCAGTCCTTTATTATTCTAATAAAGTATTGTTGCACCCATGCCCTGGTTCAGCCTCTCATTATCCGAACTTAACACTGGCGACGAGGGTGGGATGGCTACCAGAGGCAAAATGCAACCGCTGAATCACTAGCCGCTGATCCACAGCCAGAGAGAACGATCAGCAGGCAACGACAGCGAACGCTGATCTGCAGCCAGAGAGAGCGGTCAGCAAACAGCGAGAGTGAGAAGCGTCTGTAGCCGCTAGTTAGCCAGCTACAGGGAAAGTGAAGCACTGCGAGCCGCAGCCGCTCGTTTCTTTAGGCGCGAAATTCAAACGGCTGTCATTTGAATTTCCGCCCAAGAGTACAGCGCGGTGCTGTATTTCAAAGTCACTGACGCCCACGCAGGCGCGAATTTCAAAACGCTGCCAACGGCCGTTGCAGCCTAACCTCGTGTGAATCCAGAGAGAGGGAGAGAGTTGTGAAAACCTCCCCAGAGCTGAAGTCACTTGCCTGCCATAGGCACAAAAAAAACCTTCCTGCTGCTGCCCCAGAGAGATTTTCTCAACAGATTATCCAACGAGATTCTCATCATGAACTCCAACCCAGCTTTCCCATCGTTCAAGCCGGATGAGGAGAAGTGGGAGTCATACAAGAATCGTTTTAACCACTACATCGACGCCATAGGGCTGGCTGATGCAGGGGAGCACCGGAAAAAATCATATTTCCTGATCTACTGTGGAGCCATCGTCTTTGATACTGCCACAGCACTCGTGGCTCCACGTGAGTTAAAAAACGTTCCCTGGACAGAACTGTTAGAAATCCTTACTAACCACTATTCTCCTAGACCCTCACAGATTGCCAGGTGGTTCACCTTCCGAATGAGGAAGCAATCAGACAAAGAGACCATTAACCAGTACATGGCTGTCCTCAGGACTGCAGCACTCCATTGTGGGTTTGGGACCTACCTGGATGACATGCTCCTCGATCAGCTAGTCTGCGGAGTCAAGGATCTTCACCTCCAAAGGCGCCTACTCGCTAGGAAGGACCTCAACCTCGCGCAAGCCGTCGAGGAAGCCCTGACAGCGGAGCTGGCAGCACACTAAGCTACCGAAATCCAAGGTCCTGCTTCCAAGCAAATTGCAGTTTCAGTCCACTCTGAAGAGGTGGTCATCGAAGAGGACCCCAGCGATGCGGCCGACATCCACCACCTCGCCCACGCCAGACACCCGCAGGTAGGAGCCAAGCAAGAAAGCATCAGTCCACCCAAGCACATCACCCTGTGCCTATCCTGTGGTGGATCTCACCTGAGGGCCACCTGCAAACTCAAGGGAGCCACCTGCAACATTTGCCACAAAAAGGGGCACATCGCTAGAGTCTGTCAAGCCGCTCACAACTCGGCACAAAGGCACCCTTCCTTTTCACATTCTGGACCCCAAAGGCAAGTATTGAACTGTCGCACTCGCCACCATGCTAAGCACGCTTGCCATGCCATTAGTAAAATCTCTCTCTCCGTTTTGTTAGAAGGTAAACCTTGTCGCATGGAGGTTGACACGGGGTCAGCGCTCTCAATTATCTCTTGGAGCACCCTCAAGAGACTACAGCCCAGTCTATCCAGAAACCGGCTCCAGAAGTGCCAGTTTAGCCTGAAGGACTACCAGGGGAAGGACATTCCTGTAATCGGCAGAGGCAAGTTTCTTGTCAATTTTAAAACTTTCAAAGGCCACCTACCTCTAGTGGTAGTTAACGGCAACCTCCCCACACTCTTGGGGCTTGATTGGTTCCCCCATCTCGGCCTAGGGTTAACAGGAGTCCATGCTGTCTCAACCTCTGACACTGACTCCTTATTCGCTGACTACTCAGACGTATTCAGCAATGAACTGGGGTGTTATAACGGTACCCCTATCTCATTCTCAGTCGACCCCCAAGCAGTCCCAATCAGGCTAAAACCTCGTAGAGTCCCATTCGCTATTCGGCCTAAATTAGATGCGGAACTGGATAAATTATTAAAACAAGGGGTCATTGAGCCAACAGATTTCGCCAAATGGGAGACGCCCATTGTCACACCCCTCAAAAAAGACAGTAGCCTGAGAATTTGCTCGGACTACAAAACCACAATTAATAAGTTTTTACAAGTTAGCACTTACCCAGTGCCCGTCATTCAGCATTTATTACACACTTTTGAACCTGGCAGCATTTTTGCCAAATTGGACATGTCTCAAGCGTATCAACAGTTCCCTGTTGACAACCAAACAGCGGAACTCCAGACCATTGTCACCCACAGGGGTGCTTTCCGGTGCAAGCGTCTCCAATTTGGCTTAAGTGTTGTCCCAGGCATTTTTCAATCCTCATGGAGCGGATTTTGCAGGGCCTCCCTGGTGTAGTACCCTACTTCGACGACATCTTAGTCTCGGCCAGGGACAGACCCCAACTCTTCCAGAGAGTTCAAGCAGTGTTAGAGAGGTTCAGACAGCATGGCCTCAAATTAAAAAAAGAAAAATGTGCCATTGCCACTAGACAGGTGGACTTTCTGGGTTATAAAATTGACGCCTCAGGCATTCACCCCCTGGAGTCCAAGGTTAAGGCAATCCATGAGGCACCCACTCCAACCTCCAAAGCGGAACTGCAGGCCTTCTTGGGGCTATTGAATTTTTACACGTCTTTCCTGCCCCATAAAGCATCTGTGGCGGAACCCCTGCACAGACTTTTGGATAAAAAATCGTCTTGGCATTGGGGACACAAGGAAGACTCCGCTTTTCGCGCAGTCAAATCACTACTCACGTCGGAGGCGGTCCTTATTCAGTTTGACCCCAACCTTCCATTAGTGCTAGCAGCGGACGCATCCCCTTTTGGAATTGGGGCAGTGTTAAGCCACAGGCTCCCCAATGGCTCCCATCGCTTTTTTTCCAGGACGCTCTCTGCAACAGAGCGCAATTATAGCCAAATCGATAAGGAAGCTTTAGCAGCTGTCGCAGCAGTGAAGAAATTTCATGAATTTCTTTTTGGCCACTTTTTCGAGCTGGTCACAGATCATAAGCCTCTCCTGGGTCTACTAGCAGGTGACAAACAGACCCCTCAAGTCCTGTCTCCTAGAATGACGAGGTGGACTCTTTTCCTAACGGCATACTCGTATAGACTCATACACTGTCCAGGTAAAACATTGTCCCACGCAGACGCCCTCAGCCGCTGCCCCCTGCCTGCTCCAGCTGAGGATCCTGCCCCGGTCCATGCTATCTTTGAGGTCACCCAACTGGACCTCCCCATCACTGCCCTTGACATTGCCGCCAAATCCAAGGCAGACAAAACGATCGCCCAGGTACTGGACTGGGTGAGGAGGGGGTGGCCGGGCAGTGATGTTGAAACCAAATTCACGCCTTTTAAGACCCGCCTACAGGAGTTATCCAGTTTGCAGGGCTGTTTGCTGTGGGGCACACGAGTGGTCATCCCGACCTCACTGCGTACCCAAGTTTTGGAGGCGTTGCATGAGGGCCACCCTGGCATCGTCAGGATGAAGGCATTAGCACGCAGCTACGTATGGTGGCCTGGCCTCGACGATGACATCATCAGATGGGTAAGCTCCTGCCATCCCTGCCAGGAATCCCATCCATCCCCTCCAATTACCACCCCCACTAAGTGGGAAAGCGCCAGCGCACCTTGGTCCAGGATTCACATCGACCTAGCGGGCCCGATGCATGGCAAAATGTTCCTGGTGGTCGTGGACTCTTACTCTAAATGGATTGACGTAGCACAACTATCCACAACCACCACGCAAGCGGTTACCAAGGTATTAACTCGCCTGTTCGTAACGCACGGGCTACCAGACTCAATTGTTTCCGACAATGGCCCCCAGTTCGCATCGGCCGAGTTCAGTCGCTTCGCTGCCAATCTGGGCATCCGCCACATCTTCACGGCTCCCTTTCATCCTGCCAGTAACGGATTGGCAGAAAGAGCCATTAGGACCACTAAAGAAGCTCTAGCTAGGTTCAGCAAGGAAGACTGGCACCACAGACTCTCCCGTTTCTTGCTGAGCCAGCACTCAACCCCGTGCACAGTCACTAATAAGTCCCCGGCTGAACTCCTGATGGGTAGACGCCTGCGGACTGTATTGGACAGGCTTCACCCACATTACTGCCCTGACTCTCCCCTCGCTTCCACATCGGGGGTTAGGCATTTTGTCTTACAGGAAACCGTGTTCGCGAGGAACTTCGCTGGAGACCCTCTGTGGATCCCGGGCGAGATCGTGGCCATCACCGGACCCAGGTCGTATCGAGTCAGACTGGAGGATGGCCGAATCTGGAGAAGGCACCTGGATCAGCTGCGGAAGCGCCAAGGCACTCATGTTAGCAGTGACTCATGGTTGCAGACCGGTGCGAGGCTACAGCAGCAACCCCTCATCAGCACCAATTCCGGTGACCAGTTTACGCCTGCAGCCGAGCCGGGGAGCCTGAACACGAACCGTGACCACCAGACGGCTGACCAGTCCGAACCAGTCAACGGAAGCACATCCCCAGTGACCAGCCCTACGAGTCCCGAACCGACACTGACCGAGGAACGCGTTCGTGACACCCCTCCGGTCCGACCTTCCTTTGCAGACTCTGAACTACCAGACAACTCCCCAGAGTTGCGCCGTTCTGGGCGCCAGCATAAGCCTCCCGCGTACCTTAAAGACTACGCGTGTTCGCATCTGGGGGGAAGGGGTGTTATGTCCCTGGAGCTTAAAGAGGTTCCCACCCAGGTCCGTTCGCGCTGCGGGGGCGGTTGCCCTCTCTCATTGGCTGGTTCTCCCCAGCAGCCAGCTATAAAAGCAGGCTGCGGGGTCCAACCAGTCGCTGATCGCTGCGAGCCAGTTCCAGGCTTGGCAAGCACGTTCAGTCCTTTATTATTCTAATAAAGTATTGTTGCACCCATGCCCTGGTTCAGCCTCTCATTATCCGAACTTAACAGAGATCATGATAGGATTCAAAGTGACTTTTAGTGAAATTCCTGATGTGAATAAATTTGAATTTGTGTCTATTTAGGATGAGTTTAGCATCTTAACCATTACTACGCAAGATCTTAACCTCTTGTAGTACAGTTAAGCAAAAATTTTGATTTTCAGCCTGTCATACCCTTGAAACTTATTATTGATATTAGAATAGCTAATGTTTTACTTTTTGCCTAACATTCCAGTAAGCAAACCAAGAATAGATCCATTACCTCTGTTCATGCCCTTTCCTGGAATTGGGGATACTAACAAAATACTCTTGAATGTTTTGTCTTTGGATCTGTTACCTGTCACATGGCAACCAAGAAAATGTTTGGTATTTCAGCAGATATTTTCAACTATATGAAATAGTGCCTTAAAAACAGTCTTTCTCCAGAGTTGATGAATTAAAATTCCTAGTATATTGTTGGGAGGTGATGGGATCTGTACAATATGCTAATCACTTTAATTCTTGTGTTTATTTCAGAGATCAGTGGATCACTTCTTTAAAAATATGGCCTGAGAACAGGTGGCTACAAAACGTTAATTTTCTCCCTTCTTAGCTAATTATAGTTTTCACCTCCTGAAAATGAATGATTTTTTTGAAAATAAATAAATTTCATTTTCTAATGATACAGAGTAAAATTTCAAATTTTATTTTTTTATAAATGACTAACTTATTCCAGATCACTATGCCGCTCCATAATAAATTTCATAATCTTTTTCCCACATATGGCCTACCTTCCTGCTGTCACCAGTGTAGTGATAATAACCTTGTAGCTTTGCAGTTTTTCCTTTCTTGGAAATACATGGCAACTCTGTGCCTCATCCCAGTTACACACAGGCTAGAAACAAAAGCAGGCATTAAACAATTTAATGAATAAATAAACAAATGAATAAATTAATTAAAAAATAAATAATGGAAATCTATTCTTTTTAAATTTTGCAATTTTACATGGTAGACATATGAGAACGCTACCAGCTGTTAGCCTGGAGAATCTCATTCAGAACAGAATGCCTAGTTTGGAGATAGAAAACTAGAATATACTTTGATATCCTCGGGGATTGTATGGTAACCCCTATTGCTAGCATTCATCCTGTAGATGTTCCTAGGATTGACATGTTTCATGAGGTGTTGGCAGAGCAGGTCTGAAGCACTGTTGGAAGGAGCACAAGCAAGCACATGGGCACCCTCAATGCATCGTAGAACCTGAGAAGAACGAAAGCACAAATAGAGGTTTTTAATTGAAAAAAAAAAGAATACTTTTTATTTATACTTCAAGCCTTGCAGGAAGCTACTTAAGGATGGTGCAAAATAAAACTGGGTCTCCACAAGATTCTTGGTTTAGGAACATATTCATCAAGGTTGTAAGCAAGATTTCTTGGCTCCTCCCAGTACATTTCACACTTCCATTATAATTAGATCTATGACAAAAGTGTATTCACCTGCTTAATGGCCTCCACCATAGTGACCGTCTTGCCAGTACCGGGAGGCCCAAATATAAGATATGGGGCTGGTCTGGAGGTCCCTGCCACCACTTGACGGACAGCTTCCTTCTGCTCCGCATTGTTGTTCAGATTAGGATTATATAGGCTGGAGGGTACAGGCAGAGAAAAGAAAGAAAATGTAACAAAGCACAGGCCGAAGAGCAAACAACATCTGATTAACCTTATTTACAGGTAGGTAAACTATGGTAATTGGGATGCAATTTCCATCACTAAGCAATGAGATTGCAAAGTGCAATGTCGTGTGATTTGCATTGCTGATTCACAGCTGTGGTTAAGTGAAAATCAGGGGTCATTTCACAAGGACCTCCTCAAAATTTCCTCCCAGCTTCGAACAAGCAAAATCATTGGGAAAGCCAGCAGCAAGTTATCAGGCCCAGCACCTTGCAAAGAGGCAGGTTGGCCAGCAGGTAAATGGCTGCTGCTGTGCAATCTTAGCCAGCCAAGCCAGAAATGGCTGCTGTCAGGGGAGAAGTGTGAACAAACTGTCTTGAGCTCTACCACCCCCACTTGCTTGCTATCCTCCTCCTCCCACTGCTGACAAGGCTTGAGCCCAGTCTGACCCTTCTGGCTACCCAAGGCTTTCATCGTGAGGCCATACTCAACCTTTTTGTGAGGCTTCAGAAGGCCCTTATGCAATTTTGAGAAGATAAAGTGTGAATTTAGGGGGAAGGCCTCATGAGGCAGTTACTAAATGAAGGGCTGAAGCTGGGCTGCCTATGCCTTATCAGCAGATGGTGGAAGTTGGCGAAGGTCAGATGGATGCAGCAGGGATGGTGGAGTGCAACACAGCCCAAATGGCAAAAATGGGAGGGGGCGGAGTAATTTAACGTCTCCTGCAAGGCTGGCTGCCAAACGCCTGAATTTTTATCACATAGCCACGGGGACACTGCAACAATCATAGCTTCAAGGAACAAGCATATGTGCCATTCATTCAGTGCTGTTGTAACAGCTGTTGAATAAAAGGCTGTTAAGTAAGTGCTATCCGCATTATATTGCAAGTCAGTATCTATTTTTTACAATTATGACAGAGTATCTGTCATAAATATCTTTCCAATGGTGCACAATGGGGCAAAAAACCCTGCTTTTATATTAAAGCCAATAGAATCTGAACTAGAACCTAAGGGTATCTACGGTTGTATCTTAAGTAACCTAAGAGCATCTTAAGTTGTAAAGGCATGGAAAATACCGACCAATATATGACTACTTTGTAAAAGGTAGATTCCGCATGGACAAGAAATAGAGGACAACCAACATCACAATGCATTTGCAGAAATTTATGAAGTAATCTCCACTGAAACGCCATGTACAATGTAGCAGTCCAGTAACCACACTTCAAAAAATGTTATGGAACAGAAAAAGACATCTATCCCTTGGCTTGGCTTTGCTAAGGTGAATAAATTTCCCTAAAATTGCTGTGATTGGAAAAAGACAGAAGTTACTGGAGCCAGGAGGGAAGAGAAATATATAAGCTCATAAAATTATGAGTAATGTAGGAAAAACAAATTCTTCCTCATTCAAAATAATAGAATCCAGAGTTATCCAATGAAGCTGATATTTAGAATGGATAAAAGTAAATATTTCTGCTTGTTATATTATTCAGCTAAAAACATTGATTCTATAAGTTTCATGATGTACCACAATTTTCTAAAAGGAATTTCACAAGGCTATCAAAGAGATGATCAGCGGGGTGACAACTATTTGTAATTGGTGAACCATCTGCTATAGAACATAAGTGAAAGCTTTTTTTGAGCTTGCCACAGAAAATTGGCAAATCATTGTGGTAATAGAAAGCTGGACTATTTGACCAGTTCATTCAGTAGTGTTATCATGTTCCCCTTGCCTATTGGCATTCGCTCCTTCCTTTCTTGTCCCTAACTCACCAGAGTTCCTGATTAGGAGACAGGAGGGATTTCTTGTAAGAGAAGCATGGGAAGAGCAAATGAGAGAGTTGACTCTTCTGGGCAAGAATAACAGCCCGATGCTGCAGACGTAAGGGCAGGCGATTGAAAGTAAATTCCACATCAAACTTCATGTTATTGACAAATTTATTTAGTAATCTAAGAAAAGAAAAGGAGCTGATGGATGATTGAAAAACATGGCATTGCTAGCCTAAAGCTAAACATGCAACACTCAATCTGCACCATCACTTCGACTCCCAACTTGTTGGTTTTTTCCCCCCTGGCCTGCTTATTTCAACTTCATGACTACCTTTCCCAGATCTGGAGCCTCATGATTTTCTTCTACATCACCACACTTTTCGTTTTTCCTTAACCTCGCTCATCTTTCAAAATAATATTGACTTAAGGTAATTTGCTTCACAGCTGCACTTCTCAAACTGATGAGCTCTCTATTCCACACATACGTTCTGTAGACAAGATTTGGTGATCTCTTGTGAAAGCCTTTCCCCAGTTTGCTATCAGAAAGAATTCTGGTGGGAATTCTGAAATTCGAGTTTCAACACAGAGAATACTTTCCCATATGCTTGATTATCAATAATATTAAATTGTTGAGTAACTAAATTGTACAGCAGGCATTAAATTTAAAGCAATGAAGATCCCCATAATCTAACATTGTCAATTTCTGAATATTTTTAATTTAATATGCATAATTTAAAATCATACTCTCATTAAATTACACATATTGTGGGGTGCTTGAAAAATGGGGCCACACCTTTATGTGGTGATGCTATACCCTGATCCAATTTCCTGAGCCCTAAAGTATCCCAGGAAACCTGGGTTAGGTCCAGCATTAATATGAAATCATCTGCAATACTTAAGGAATATTAAAACCTGCTTTAACATATTGCACCATATATTAGAATCAAGGAATGGCTGTATTTGTGAAGGTATTGGCGAGTTTCAAACCCAGCACACAGAACAACACTGATTAACTTAGAAAAGTCAGTGGTGCCTGTGTGATGAACTTGTGCCCTTGATTATGTGGAAATTGTGCTATGTATGTTCCAAATGTCCTCTGCAAGCAGGACAGCTGCTTAGCTGGCAAGATGTGCTAGGCTAAGATCTTGGGATACAAGGAAGTTATATTGGTCACATATATAAATATAGTTATATTGTGACATGTAGAATGAAGTAATGAATAACTGCCCTGTTGCTATGGCAAGGTGGCAGAATCCTGAAAGTCATGTCTTGGTGGACTTAAGGTATATAAAAGAAGAGTAAAGAATGGGAGGTGTTCGAACAATCTTAAGCCATCCCGTTTGATTGCTTGTCTGATTGACCCTCATTGTAATGTGAGTAATGTAAGTGCTTTATGTTTATTATGCTCTAAATTCTAATAAACCTCTGAATTCTAAAATGAGACATTTTGTGATGTGCTGTCTGATCAACTGTTATTAAGTGCAACTATGCACATAAACAGGTTTTTCCCAACACTATTAAATACTATTCCTACCCTTCCCAGTTAAAATGAAAGCCTTACATAACTATCCATGCTGGATTAGGAGCCAATTATCTCAATCTTGTTCTCATTTTAAAAAAAAAAATCTAACCGTAGGCTGAAGCTGACGTGGTACTCACTTTTCAGAAAATCCCAGCTTGACTTGATCCAACTCCACAGCATGAACATAACCTTTATAGAAGGGAACATTGTATTTTGGTTGCCCTTCAGCAGGGATCACAAACAGATGGTCACCTTTCAACACGGAAGGCCGGTTCTCTGCAACACCAGGCGCCTGAAATAAAGAATCAGACCAATCTAAAGCACAAACTTTTTAATTCTCATGCCCTGAGTAACAAACCTCTGGAATAGCGAATTGAATATCTTGTTACACACAGTCAATTGTTTCTGCTGGAGGAAATGAATTTAAATCATATAGTATTTGCTATTTGCATGGCAGATGTGCAATTGTGGCATTTGGGTGGGCTAGGGCAGGGAATCTTCCTAACCTCTTTCATTACAATTCATGTGCAATTTTGAATTTGGAAGTTATAACATATTAAGAGGGACAGTTTAAATATGGCTAGTATTTCTCTTTATTGACTATTTTTTTTACTTTTTTGCTATCATTTTTTTTCTCCTAGAGTTTCAACATTCTCTTCCCTCTCTTTCTCTTTCAGCATCTATTTTACCTTTCCTTTCTCCTTATTCTCATCTACATGACCTAAATTTAATTTTCAACAGCTGGTGAGTACAAATTATACTGTATGTACAATCTAACTTGCTACAATGGCATTAGTTACATGTACAATTGTACAGCTAAATCTATCTGTACAATTAAGTATCCAACGGTCATGCTTCATCCAGACTAATTCACTCATAATGCTTGTAGCCAATTTAAAAGATCTAGCTTGAGTAAGATACTATAAGCACACATACTTTAAAAAAGCCCTAAATACTGAAGAAAAACTACTATTGAACGAAAAACAACAACTCTTAAGACTCAAGCCCTAGGCTTAAATTTCTTTTGCCCTTATGGTGTAATGGAGCTTCATTGGTTTTTTAGAGTAAAAAACTGATGAATGGATGCACTGTTATTGTAATAGAGCAATTTGCTCTCAGGTCCTTTGCTTTTGACCTTGATCACTCTAGAGCTCAACATTTCCAAGAAGTTTGCTTCTGAGTTACAATTGAAGAATATTTTTATTCATATCAAATGCTTTTAAGTTGTATGTATAGGACTTTATGGAGATGAAAAGGTGAATCTAAATTGTTGGAAAAGTGCTAGCGGTGGCATGTGGAGGAGGCAAAGTGGATGGTGGACATGTTATTCTGCCAAGATTCAGTATACATACAAATAAGTAGGAAATGTATGCACAAGTATTTGTGCAGGCGAGGGAGGTGGGGGGGAGGGAGAATGAGAATATAAGCACATATTTAGGAGACATTACCCCCATTTTGTTTAATTAAATAAACTTTCATATATTTTATATGCAGTTCTATTTCATGGAAATTAACCTCTGGAATAGTAATTGTGAGAGGCTATTCCAAACAAGCAACTTTGATTTTTTATTTTGTGGGAGATTGATCCTGTATTTTTTCCTATTTTTTATTGTTTTTAATGTTCCTATTTTCTTCTTCTTCTTTCTTAAACTGACCCATGGTTTTATAAATATAATCCATTACCCCTGCGCCATTCTCCCATTCCTATCATATGGTATCTTATTTCAAATCAGGAGCAACTAAGAATGACAGGAAAACGGCTGAGATTTAGCATCTATGCTCTAACTATTACATTCACAGAATAAGGATTTCTTTCAGGCTCTAGATTATAAGTCACTCACCTTCAGAACAAGGAGTTTCTTATTGTATTTGTCTGTAAACATACTAACATTCTGCATATCATATCGATGGATGTCCACCTCCATTTGGATCTCTTCCAAGTGAAGAAGCAGACAAAATTTCTCAGAATAATTGCCAAATTGCAAGGGGGCTTCCAGACTGCTCCTGTTTGGAAGTATATGGTAGTATTCTATCAAATTTAATCTGCCCACCCAAACAGAAATCACCTTTCTTTCCATCAGAGATGGGAGAGTTTGGTAGGGAGGGAGAGACAACACTACAACATATTCCTGCTTTAAAATATCCCCTACTTTATTCAGATGATCCTGGTTACATTGCTTGCTCCTTTCTGCACATGTATTCTTCCTTTCCATGCAGACAGAGAGTCATCTGAACTTCCTAATATTTCAAGAAAGGTACAAATCTGCTACTAGGCCAAGACAAACCAATGCTGCTGTTTAAAAAGAGTTGGTAGCTTTCCCAGCTTAATGTGATTGTTAATATGGGCCGAGGAAGAGCATATTATCTTGTTTTATATTTATTTATTAAATTTGTGCATCACGTGACTCCCAATGTTTCTGGGTGGTTGGCAAGTAAAACATTAAAAAACAATAAAACAGTACAAATGAAAAAGAATAAAAGATGACACAAACTGGGAAGTAACAAAAAGTGGACCTATGCTATCCAACAGCTTCTTGGTATTCCAAGAGATAGTAAAATGACTTCCAGTCAAAGAGGAAGAAGTCTGAACATACACAACTACCTCTGAGGCTGCTCAGCTACTAGTTTTTAAGTTCTTTAAAGTCTCTTGTTGAACAATGTTGATCCTGATAAACATCTCAACATCTGAAATATCTAAACACCCAGAGGAGTATACAAATATTAACAACAATAAAATCAAAATGAGGTGATGAATATCCATTGTAAAAACTTGTTTGTAAAAAAACTTGTTTTTACAAGGCAGGATACAAATATATAGGGTTTTGGTTTGTTTGTTTGTTTTTGGATAAGCAATATTCTTGGCCCACATTTGGAATTTCAAAGCAAGCTATAGGCACTTCACCACATGGCTGTTCAAACTCTGCAAAACATTCTGAGATTGAACCATGAACCCAATCTGAATTCAGAGCAGCCGCTGTTCTGACCTTACTGGAAGGGCTTTGAATATGAAACAGAGTTTAAAACAGGAGCATTGTGAATTTATAATACTTCCAATGAAATTAGAAATGGTGATGAAGTTGTTTGATTTGTTTCAAAAATTTTACATGTTGCTGTATTTTTATTGTGTCCCATGAAAAGAAGGAAGGCATCTGCATCCACAAAATAGCTGCTTTATTTAATGTACCCAAAGGTGAATGGATCTGTTTGTTCCTCCCCACTCTACCTTCCCCCTCTCATCTCTCATTTTTTTAAAACTGAAGGACCCGTTGCCAAGCACAGCATCATTTGCAGCCCATCTCCTTTTTACTTTCTAAAAATATCTTGATTTGCAGCATGCTAACTTTTTCATTTCCATAAGAGCTGGAAGCACTTCGGAGGTCATATAGTCCAAACCCCTGCTTTCAGCTAAGCATTTCAAGCTTGGTAATTATCCAGTCTCTGTTTGAGAATCTCCGGCATTTACCTTTTTATCAGCTACATCACACTGGCGGGCTACATTTAACTTGTGAAATACTACAGTATCCATATTCCTTTTCTCACTTACTATTATAAAGCCAGACTACTCCCATTCTTCTTTTTTTTATCACGAGAAGCAGGAATTTAAGTTTCTCTCTGGTAAATCTGTTTCATCCAATATTCAAGCCTAGCTATAACTTTTTCCTTTTAAATGTCTATGGAGATTTTTCTCTTAATTCTTTTTTCATTTCATGATCATGCCACATTGTTACTCACATGCCCTGTTAGCTATCCCTAGGCTGATCTAAACCAGGAAATGTAAGAAAAAATGATATTTAAGAACAAATATTTATGAAGTTACACATCAATTCTGACACTATAGTCTTTACTTACAAATCCTATTATCTGTAGCTAAAATAGGCAGGGGTTGGGGAGAGAATAATATATCACAATGAATCTTGGGAGTCATTGATCAGGGAGACACAAATACTTCTTTTTTATGTTTCTATACCCCATATTTCATCTGGGAGCTCAAGTCAACAAATGTAAACATTCCCCCTTATATTATCAAAACATGAACAATCCTGTGAAAACAAGGTCAGAACAATAGCAACTGGGCTAAACTCACCATGAGTTCATGGTCAAGCAAGGTTTTTGTCTAGGATTTGCTAGTTGAAATTACATACTTTAATCATTGCATCAATGTGCTGTATTAACATGATGGGTATATCTCTTTCTTACGACAAAGAAATGAGTGGAAAGTGAAGAGAATGACAATTTCTTGCTTAGTAGAAACTTACTGTAGATGGGCAATCTTGTCGCTGGTGCCATCATTATGAGTATTACCTTCATTCAAGCATACAATCAAATCCTTCAGATTGCTTGGGTATTTGTACTGATCTAAAGGTTTCTGCTCCAAGTCTATGAACGAAGTGCTGAAAACACAAGATAAGCACAAAGTTACATGTTAATCAGAGATGTTCATAACAAGGAAAACAATTCAGGCTTGACATTTCAATTTTTACACCATGTCCTAAACTGGGTCACTAAATTTTGATGACAAAATATGAAAAAACACACAGATATTTTATCCTTTTTCTATCTTTAAACCACCTCCCCCAAATGGGGGGGAAAATCTTTGGGCCCTCCCTGATGTTTGCCATTCTCCCATGTCTCTGGGCACTGGAGATAAAAAAATTAAAAGTTAAAAATGGTTTCCTCTTCAAACATTGTTCATCCTTACCTAAAAAATCAATAAAGACCAACCCACAACACCAGAATATACCATTAGAAGGAAAATGTGAAAAATAGTCAAATCACCACTTCAGATATTAGTTTCATCAATAGCTAATATTAATTTGCACATAAAATGATTTACATATAAGAATTACCATAATACAAATATGGGGAAAGTTTGGTTTCTCTAAGTGTAAAGAAATTATTATAATTGTAACCTTGTTATTTTAATTTATATAATTTGGATTAACTATATAAATTAGTATAATTAAATCATTCACATTGCATGCAATTAATCCTGGCTGCAAGATAGGACTAAAAAAACAATCAACACAATCATTTGGTATTTTTTCATATATTGCAGAACATTTTCCTGCACTTATGTTGGTACACATTAGCTATCCTTAGCCAGTTCCTGTAAAGCTGGAATATCAATAACAATTTCAAGTAAGGCTTCGGAGAATGAAAATGAAAAAGATTAAAACTCTCAAGGTTCTATAAATATAACAAACAGTAATTAATAATTTTGGCTGCATCCCATCTAGCTCCAGTCTTTATGAGGGGTCTTTGGGGCCCAGTCTTTTTCTCAAAGTTTTAACACCTATAAAGTGCTAAATGATGTAGAAAACTAAAATGGTATGGCTAGTCTTGGTATGAAGCTGTGGTGGCGCAGTGGATAGATGCAGTTTTGTACTGCAGGCTATTTCTGCTGCAGCCAGCTGCCTGCAGTTTGGCAAATCAATCCTCACCAGGCTCAAGGTCAATTCAGCCTTCCATCCTTCCAAGATGGGTAAATGAGGACTCAAATTGTTGGGGGCAATATGCTAACTCTGTAAGCCACTTAGAGAGTGCTGTAAAGCACTCTAAAGTGGTATATAAGTCTAAGTGCCATTGCTATTGTAGGTTAACTGCCTACTGCCAGGAGTTCAATCTTGAAGCGGCTCATGCTGAGTCAGCATTATATTCTTCTGAGGTCAGTAAAATAAGGACCCAGATTTTTGGTGGCAATATGTTGACACTGTAAACTGCTCAGAGAGAGCTGTAAAGCACTATGAGTCAGTATATGAGTCTAAGTGCTATTGCTAGTTCACGTAGCCAACTGCATCAATTGAAAATAACACACAGGAAAAAAGGAAAGAACATCTCAAAATAAAGGATTGCAAATTAGACGAGCAAAATATAGCTATATGACAATAGGGGGGAAAAGGAAAAGGACAGAATTCAGAAAAAAGGAGTTGGAGGAAAAATATGATACAGAGACAATATGTCCAAAAAAAAAAAAAAACAGAGGAAGAGTAAAGGGAGAAAATTAGCAGAGAATCCTCACGTACTTGTTTGGTGGAAAGCCATCTTCTATAGATCTGAACTGTGGTTTGTGCAGTTTGGCTTGATAAGGCTGATAAGGTTCTGATGGACAAAGTTGTTGTGCTAACTCGGTATTGGCAACAGCCTGCACAAAACGTCCGATGTGGAATTTCCCAGTCTGTTCACTGGTGAAATTGAACTGCATGGTAACATTGAAGAAGCCATAGTCCTGTACCCCACATGTGATTGGGATTTCATGAACTGACCCTAAAGACAAGGAAACCTTTTTACATTTACAAAACAACAAGGAAGAAGGCTCTCTTCTGCATTAATTTTCTAACACTTGATTTGAAATTAAGAATATGGAATTTCCAGAATATACAATCATATTCTCTAAAGTTTGCAACAAGTCCTTTTATATTTATCTAGTTAACTAGTTTAAAGATAAATATGCTTCTCTCTAGTACTGTATCTTTCCATACTTACATTATATCCCAGAATAAAAAAGCTTTTGGTTTTGGGGCAAATAAGAAATTAAACACATCCCAGTTTCCAACTTTACTTCAAAAACCTAATAAATTGGAAAATAAGTGCTTAATTCTTATGTACCTTGACCTGTAGAAACCTTGATAAAAGCTCATATTCTGTTATTTAGAAGTCCATAATGACATTATTCAGTTATGCTGCACAGATATTAGCAGGTATCTAATTCCGTCTCCCATTACTTTCAAAAGATATACCTCGTGGAGTTTTGACTGATGCTTATTGACACAATTAATAGTCACAGATACTCCTGGCTACTGTAGTAATTGCGCAGACAAGAAATGAACAGTCTCACAATTTCTTACAAGAACTTCTACATTAGTCCTCTAGTCCTCATGGATTTCTTTCTGATGATTCATGAATTATAGAACAGTTAATGCAAGTGTCATACACAATCATAGACACATTGCTGGGTAGTGTGGTTCAGATTAAGCTAAGATATGAGAATTTATTTACTATTCTCCATTCAGGTAAAAGAGCATTTCTTTCCAGAAGGATCAAGCATTTTTGTATAATTTCCTTTTTAATCAATTCTCCCCAAATCTGATATATTGTTGAAAGTGACCCACAGCTTCAAGTGTATGCAAGTTGGTTAGAGAAAATGATTCCACGATTACATACTGTCTATAGCAGGGGTGTCAAATTCAATTTCATTGAGGGTCGCATCAGGCTTGTGTTTGACCTCGGGAGGGATGGGAGGGCATGGCCAGGGTGGACATGGCCAGCTCAACGTCACTTGTGTCAGAGGCACCTGTGGTAGCCCAAGCACTCTGCCAAGGAAAACAGGCTCCCAAGCTCCATTTTTGGCTGTGATGGCCTTCTGCAACTCTCTGCCAGCGAAAACAGGCTCCGCTTTCAGCTGCAAAGGCTTTCTGCAACCCTCTGCCAGTGAGATGGAGTTCAGGAGAGTTGCAGGCGGCCCTCACAAACTTTGTTTTCATGGCAGAGGCACTGCAGGTGATCCTTCGCCTTTTCCAGGGCAGCTTCGTGGGCCAGATCTAAGCACCTCCCCTGGGCCGGATCCAGCCCCCTGGCCTTGAGTTTGACATTCCTGGTCTATAGCCAATACTTAGAAACAATTTAGATTACCATTATTGAACTTTCTTCTGGAAAGTTTTTTTGCAGTGCTTAATTGTTCTGCAATTATTTTACAATATGTGACCCCACCAACTCTTTTAAGGGATCTAGCAATGTTTCAACAAATGTATACATATATTACCTGGTGGTAGTTTCACAGGTGAAGTTTGTTCAGAAACTACAAAAGTGAATTCACAACGTTTTATCAGTCTGTAATTTTCCAGCATAATTTCATTTGTTCCACTGTTCTTCACCTCAATTTTAATAGTCACACACTGCTCTGGAGAAATGTTGAATCGAATTTTACCATTTGGCTTATCATGCTCCGAAATAATTTTCACGCCGTTCTTATTGGACACAAACATTGATCTGGAATAAAGAAACTGAGGAATCAGACTTCCACAATTTCTAATACCACATGCACACATTCAGGATTCTCTTTAATTGCTCCATAGTATTTTTTTTTTTACATTATCAGAAGATATGAATAATACTAAAATAGCAACTATAGAACAGAAAAGAGAAATATTAAGAAAAATAAATTTCAGAATTTTTTTTTTAAAGTAAAAACCTAACTGTCATCATCTTCAAGGTGACATGGTATTGGCAAGATGATAGGAGCTGTTATATAACAAATTGAAAATTGATATATAACAAAATTCTTATTTAATAAATTGTTATTTAACAAATTGTTAAAGTCCTGAAGCTTGCAGATGATACAACAGTGATTGGTCTCATTCGAGACGACGAATCTGCATACAGACTGGAGGTGGAACAACTAGCCTTGTAGTGCAATAGCAACAATCTTGAACTATACACCCTCAAAGCCATAAAAATGGTGGTAGATTTTAGGAGAAACCCTCCTATACTACCACCTCTAACAATACTAGACAATACAGTATCAACAGTACAGACTTTCAAGTTTCTAGGTTCTATCATATCTCAAGACTTAAAATGGATATCTAACATCAAAAACCTCATAAAAAAGCACAACAAAGAATGTTCTTTCTGGGCCAACTCAGAAAGCTCAAACTGCCCAAGGAGCTGCTGATTCAGTTCTACAGAGGAATTATTGAGTCTGTTATCTGCACCTCTGTAACTGTCTGGTTTGGCTCTGCAACTAAACAAGATAGACACAGATTTCAATGGATAATTAGAACTGCAGAAAAAAAACAATTGCTACTAACCTGCCTTCCATTGAGGACCTGCATGAGGACAATTGCTACTAACCTGCCTTTCATTGAGGATACTGCATGAGTCAAAAAAGGGCTGTGAAAATATCTAAAGACTCCTCACATCCTTGACATAAATTGTTTCAACTGCTTCCCTTAAAATGATGCTATAGGCACTGCACACCAGAACAATTAGACACAAGGACAGTTTTTTTTCCAAATGCCATCACTCTGCTAAACAACTAATTCCCACAACATGATCAAACTACTTACTAAAACTGTATTACTATTCTTCTTCTCATCCTTCCTATTATCTATCTGCTCCCACTTATGACTATAATAATCATGTTGCTTGTATCTTTACGATTTATATTGTTTTGTTTCGTAGCATGATTTGATTGCTTATTAGTAACTGATACAACTCACTTAGTGTTATATCTTATGATTCTTGATTAATGTTTTTTTTCTCTTTTTATGTACACTGAGAGCATATGCACCAAAGACAAATTCCTTGTATGGCCAATCACACTTAACCAATAAATAATTCTATCCTATTCTATTAAAAAAGGAGATGGGGAAAGCTATAATTTAAGACAACATATAAACATGTGACTTAGAAAAAGAAAAAGGGCTTGTTTATTCAGCTCTGGATAAAAGTGGGTCCTCCTGTGAGGATGGAAGAACCCCAAATGCATATTCAAGCAGTAAGTTTCTTAGTTTCACTTGGTTACATAAGCAGGAAACACAGCTCATAATAGATAAGGAAACAAGTTAGAAAAATACTTGTTCACACATCCTGTGGCAAGACGCATCTCAGTTACAAGCTTGAAGTTTTCATTATGATTTTAAAAGGACTTCATGAGTCTGGAGGCTTGCTGCCATCTCTTATTTTGTCATTTCAACAAAAGAATCTATCTAAAAATCTTTGTTTGTGCCAAGCCAACTCTGGTTCTCTATCTAACAAGAGCAAAGCTACTTAAGAGTCTTATCAAAACTAGATAAAAGTTAATAGATAACATATACTCAGGCTGAAATATCTATAAATGGTGAATTTCAAATCTGAAATAAAGTATTATGTACCCTATCCTTTTAGCATTCTACCCTTTTTTGAATAAATTACATTTGAATGAATATATGATGTCAGAAGGTTGGGTTAATGGATGTGCTTTTTCAGGTGTGTTGAATTACAAATATTAGTGATTCTCTCTAGTAATGCAAGCAAACTTTGTTTGAATTAAACAAAAAAGGTTCATCAATCCACAAAACACAGTTGTCCAAGTCAATGAAAGACTAAATCTTTTCCAACTTGATGCTTCCAATATTTTGCAAATCTTTTTTCCACAGTCTAGCTGGCAAGGGATACCAATAAATTTGGAGGGCATTGTGACAGGGAAGGTCGGCATAGAGGCTGGGATTAGAATATTTTTTGCCAAAAAGATAAAAAGAGCTTTTTCATGTAGACTTTAAGGGGCAGGGGAGAAAAAAGCCAGTAAGCCTTATCACAGCTCTTAATACGAACAATTCACAAGCCTTCCCAAATCTGTTATTTTGATCTTATACCATTCTCATGGCTGCACTTTGTAATCTACAAAGTGGAGATGAGATTCAGTGAGGTGAATTATGCTACTCACTTGTAGTTATGATTTTTTAAATGGCCACCAGTATTCACATATGAGTTTGCTTTTGTTTTTCAAAAGAAGTCTTCAGTAGTATCTACTATATTATAAGATAAGTGGTGCAGGAAGTATACTGTGTAATATCCAGAGGCATGACTCCTCCTTTAACAAAATTTAAAGAGATCCTCTAATAAAATGATTCATCTATATAAGCTATGCGGGGGAGGTGGATAGATTGTGTGATTTCACAGATGACTTCAACTATTTATAATCAACTCATTTGCAACATGGTTTCCATATATAACAAATCTCATATATATGGGAGACAAAACAGCTTACCAATAAGATGTGGGCATGCATGTTGTCAATCGAGCATAGAAGACAATACCAATCCACCAAAAGAGACATCTTGAATAATTTTTCTTGAATAATTATGTAATAATGCTTAACGAGTATCTAAAGACTAGACCAAAAAGCTGCTTTGTATGGTATAGAAGCAGCATCACATCTTCATGATGCTGTAGATGTTGAAATTGTTCTTACGGAATACCCAAGGGAATCTTACAGTACAAGCTAATTGTGCTAGATGGTATTATTATCAAGTTACCAAACCCTTTGGCTGAGACCAGCAAACATAATAAAATAGAATAATTTTTATAGTCAATGTAGACCTCCAGAGCCAAAGTCCATCAAATATATGTAGATCAATTTGAATGAAAAGGATAACAATGTTTAAAAGGTAGTTTACATAATGGATTGATTCACATGGAATCACTCTACTAAGAAAATACGTCACAGAATAATCTTCAGGAAGGACAAGGAAGGAAGTGGTAGTGGCAGCAGTTTGACTTGCTTATTCTCCTGGCTGATGTTATTGACACAAAGAATGCCACTTCTGAAGAACAAAATGTGTAAATCATTCATTGCTAGAAATTCAAAAGGTATTGAAAGGAAACTAAATATAACAATGGGCAAACTGTACAGTAGTAAAGTTGTTACTAGAGGAAAAAGATTCAAAAACTGACATAAGACATTATTTTGTAAAGGTTTAGGTACCTCTGCTCAAATTGTATGTTTCAATTAATTTGTAAGGGAACAATTTCCAAAATAGTTTCTGTTCACTTAAGAATTCGTTGATATATACAATTGAAATAGATATACATTTTTGCATGCAATTAAATTTATGTACAACTGTTATTCCAAACATTTGGATTGCAAAATATGTACAGTAAAACTATTTGGCTATCTAGAATTTCCTAAATTTGAACATATAGTGCCCTATGTAGGTAATTGAGATGTGCAGCTGTTTGAAAATAGAAAAGATGCCTTGAAAGAAACAGAAGCATGTTTCCAACACTTGTCAAGCTCCTTCAGGAAGACACATCTTTTCCTGAACTGTCATGGTAGGCTCACAGTCCCAGCAAAATGTACATTGCAATCAAGGGTGTCCAACAGGTTCGTAGTTATGATACAAATCTCTGCAGCAATGGGGGACTTCTTAAAATCATCCAGTGTGGTTTACTGGACATAGCTGAGAAACTTCCTATACCATTTATTGGCAATACTGCTTGATCTATTGCCTGGTCGGTTGATATTGTTGTTTTCTTCTCTGTCATAGAACTAACTCAATCTCTTTATGTATATATGAGGAGCGGTTAAGATACTGGGCTCAGGTTGAAGACAGGGTGAGCGCTTGTCCTCACCCCACTCTTGCCAACCAGCAGTTTGAAAGCATGCAAATGCAAATAGATGAATAGACAGCACTTCAGTGGAAAGGTAACGTTCCATGAGGTGATGCTGGCCACATGACTGCAGAAATGGCTTCAGATAGCACTGACTCAATGACCTTGAAATGGAGATGAGCATCACTTCCTATAATCGGCAATAACTAGCCAAATAATAGGGACACTGTTAGGAATAATAGTCACTTAACAGTTGGGTTGGCAATAGTCATTTAATACTGTATCTTTAAGAGATGCTGTAATTGTGATTGGCTGAGGTTCCTCCAACGGCCATAAGATGGAGGCAGAAACCTGGTTTCTTTCTCCTTGTATTTCCTGTTTTTGCCATAAATCATCATTCTATTTGAATTTTCTGAGTCTTGCAACTGTTAGCAAACTCCATTTACCGAACTCTGTTTATGATACTTGACTTTGTTTTTGGATTATCCCTGGACTGATACTTACTGCTTTAACCGTATATGATTTGGACTGTTTGTTGGACTTCACTGACCCGTTTACTGGAAGTAAAACCTACATTTTACTGTTCAGTGTATCTGTATGCTGGTCGTGTGTTATTCAACATCACTCTCACCATGTTTCCCCTAATGGGGAATACCTCAACAGATACCTTTACTTTTTTTTTAATCCATAAATAGGCTTAAGGCAATAAAGAAAAGGGATATCAGCAGAAGCACATATATATATCAGGACAAATCAAACTGAACACAAACCAAAAAGACTTTCTCTGTGACAGAAAAATCAACAAAGAGACTTCCAGTTTGCAAGGCTTCGGCGGCGGCAGGAACCTGCAATCGTGCGTGGTTTCTGCTGCGCTCACCGCTGGAGTGCCCCCGATCCAGCTGGATATGGGGGCTAATAGTTACCCTGTAGAGGTAACTGAAGACAGGGGAGATCCAGCAGGGGTCCGGGGGAATCACAACCCCCCTCCTCAGCTGGCTTAACTCCCTTTTCCGAAAGCGGTGGAGCGGCGGTCAGCTATGTCCGCCACAAAGAAGCTTTCATCCGGAATAAGAATGTGCAGGAGGAAGCTTGAGAAGTGAAAGTTTTCGGCTAACTGGGATAATAAGTAACATTTAAATACCCTGGATTTTAAACTTCATTAAAGATACATCATTCCCAAAGAAGATTGGAAAAAGTGGCGGATGAAAGTTAAAAGGGAAAGTTTGTTTTTTCTCACTCTCCTTCCTTACGGTGATAGCGGACGGAAATTGGAAAAACCCGCTTTGGCATCAGCAGGTAATTAATTTTGAAAATTAAAGCCAAGGGGACATTAAAGATTTCTGAACATTGGAAAAAAAACTTTTTTTGCTATAAGTGGGAAGGGAGAGGAAAAGAATTAACATTAAGATTTTGCTGGAGGAGGCTGCTTGGAATTTATAAGACTAGAGTTAAATTGTAACAAGACTTCTAAAAGATATATTTTGGAACTTTGCAACTGAACTGTAACCCCAGGAAGAGAAAGTATAAAAAGAAAGTGTTAAACGAAACAGATTGTGTGTATTTGGATTGCTTGGTGACTTTGGAACCTTGGGAAATTATTATTTGAAAGACTAAAAACATTTGGGTTGTTTAAAAAGAATTTTTTTACAATGGCATTACTTGTTGATGAACTGAAAATGGAATTTAAAAAGCTAAAAGAAGAGGAACAAGAATGGAAAGGCTCTTCTGGATCTGTTTTTCATTTCTTAGAAATGGTGATTTTTACCTATCCGAAACTACAGGAAGATCGGGATGATGATGATGATGATGATGATGAGGAGGAGGAGGAGGAGGAGGAGGAGGAGGAGGAGAAGAAGGAGGAGAAGGAGGAGAAGGAGAAGAAGAAGCAGCCATCTTTAATGAACAAGCAACTCTAGCTTGGGAAGAAAAGGGAAAGAGAGGAAAGAGAATGGAGAATTTAAGACTTAAAAAAACAACCAAAAAAGGGAAAAATAAGGTGAAAAATCGATACAATGTCAGAAAACAACAGAAAAGAGGAATATAGAAGAGGGTGGAGATTAAGAGGGTGGAGATCAAGAGACAAGGGGGTAAAAAGGCTAGATTGGAGAAGAAAGGAAGGAAAAAAGGGAAGAGAAGTTACAAAGGTTTGAAACAAGATGTAAAGAAACAGGATTTATTCAGAGACAATGGGTAAAAATATAATTAAAAAAGAGATTCTGCAAAAGTACATAAGACTGTATTGTTGTATTTGTATTTGAAATAATGTTAGAAAACTGGAACATTATATGATTATAAAATGGGATAAAATATTAAAAGGAATGTGTAAAATGCTTAAGATTCAATGATAGAGTTTAATTTGCTATGGATTATTGTTCTAATTACATTATAAACTTATTATCTTCCTATCTTAAAATATAGTATGTAGCTTTAGAATGTACTAAGGAGAATCAGAATGAAAATTATATATTATTTTAAGTGTTAAATTTAGGGGAAAGATATAAAGGCGTCATACTTCAATTAGTGATTACAGGAGAAACTTTGTGTTAATGAGAAAAGATAATAGATAATTCAAATAGAACAGACAAAAGATACAAGCATAATGATTTAAATTGAGATGAAATAAATAAAATAGAATTAAGAGAGTGAAAAGAGGGGAGAAGCTATATAGAAAATGTAGAATGGTAAATAAGATATGAAATGGTATATAAAGTGAGCATGAATTTGATTTATGTCTGTACAAAAAGATGTAACCCGGGACTAAGCCGCTTTCCAAAAAGAAGTTTTATGTTTTTATGTTTTTGTATTTTGTTTGTGTATGTTTGTTTATTGAAAATTAATTTAAAAAATTTTTAAAAAGAAAAATCAACAAAGAATGCTTACTTTCATACTTTCATAGTGTCCACACAAAACAGACTCTATCTTTTTTTCTGTATAAAACTACATTTCCCCTACAAAACATCTAGTAGTATAAGATGGGGTGGACCAGGATAGTTGATGGCTCATTGTGAACAATTTCCATCATTCTTTTAGACAAAATTGAGTGAATTTATTATCATGATGTTGTGATTTTCAGAAACAAATTAGAAAAAAAAGGGAGACCTACCTATGATTATATGAAGATGGGGTGGATTTCCATAAATATCTTATCTGGTATAGATTCCAAGAAAGATTCCGCAAAGATGCAAAATCCATGCATGTAATATACAAAGATCATGATGATCAATCCTCCAATTAAAAATAGAGGTTTTTAAAATATATGGAAGATACATGAATGTTCCTTCCAAAGCAGAGGTGCAGTGAGGCTCAAAAAACTAGTCTGGACATTTAATGAGCAGCAAGATTTAGGATGGATTTAGCATCTTGGCCTTTAAAAATGAAGAGAAAAATCCGGACAAAATCAAATTATGCTATTTACTTGGCTTACTAGAGGATTTTTTTCCTTGCATTTACAAGAGTTGGAACTTTTTTTTTTCTTAAATGAAGTTTAGAATTCACAATTTTTTAAAATAATGCCAAGGCTCAAACTTTTCATTTATAACATGGGACCTAGAGAATACATGAAAAATTAAGTCCCCTTAAGCTTTGCTCCCATACAATTACACCATCCAACTTTGCATTACATACCTGCGCTTAACCCGTGCTCCAGGGGGGAGTGGATTATTGAATATTTTTTCATCTGGGGTAGAATGGTCTTCAGTTCCGGTATCATCTTTTGGTTTCCAATATTGATCAATAAGTTTTAGTTTCTTCTTCCCCTATAGAAAAGCAAAAAAGAAATACCGTAAAAAAAAGGCTTCCAACAAATTGTAAAGTATTGGAAAAATTTATTACAGAAAGCAGTTCACCTTTATTTTTATTCTCCATTTATTCTGAAACAATTAATACTGGTCAAATTCAAAGTTAATTTCACCACCTGGAAATATTTTTGGTAAAATATGATTCTAAATTAGACAAGAATTTTAAAAGTTTTACTATGCTCTCTTGTTTAAAAACAAATAAATCAATTCAAAAACTGAGGAAACACGGCTGGTTCAGACTCTATGCCAAGGATCTTCAAGCTTGGCAAGTTTAAGACTTGTGGACTTCAACTCCTAGAATTCCTGTGCTAACAATGACTGGAGAAGGAATTCTGGGAGTTGAAGTCCACAAGTCTTAAAACTGTCAAGTTTGAAGACCCCTGCTCTATGCCATGAAACTGTAAAGTCCTATGTTATTCTTTCTTTCTATTTTGTCCAAGATAAACCCCACCATGTGAATCTTATCCCCTTATCCTAAGCACTTTTTTGACACCTCAGAATTCCATTTCAGTAGTACTTAGATGAAGGTATTCCTCAAATTATGATGACATTTGGGATTGGAATTGTAAGACTATAAGTGATGTGGTCATAAAATACGCTATCACATGAATGTGTTGGTTAGTGACAATAGTTATGATTGCCATTGGTAGGTAAGGAGTGCAAGTGACTGTGATTTCTGATTTCCTGACAGCTTCTCCAATGACTTTGTGTTTGGGAAGCTATTAGGGAATGCCGGAAATTGTGATCACATGACCATAGCTCCCTGTGTTATTGTAATCTTGAGCTGGGCACCTGGAACTCAATCATGTAACCATGGGGGTGATATAACAGCAAGAATTACAAGGATAGTCATAAGTCGCCCTCATTCAGTGCTGTTGCAAGTTTGAACAATTGCTGAAAGCGTGGTTGTAACTTTGAGACTTGAGTACTACCTATAATAACCAGTTAAAATTTGTATTAGTCACGGGTATAAATAAGTCACAAAAAGACTACAAATCAATAAGCCAGTTTTGTTTCTTTCCATGTTGACCTTACATCTAGAGAGCCTTATTTTAATGCCTTGGAATCCATCAGGACCCATTAAGCCCAATTGTTCAACATCAACTATCAAAGAATGAAGTAGACGATCAAGTGCACCTTCTTACCTGAAAAAAACGCACATGATCCCCATAGATTAAAGCACGGTTTGATATCGCCAGCGCATACAGCACATTGGAGAAGTTGGGTCTTTTTATATTATCTCTGTCAGACAATAGAATATAACTTTTATTCAACTACTAAACATATATATTGATTACACACACACACACAGACAATTAAAAAATCTGTTTTCACACTTGTGGTGCTCTGTGTACTCCTCAATCTCCTTTAATGTGGAGAGGAAGATCAGAAATCATTTCTTAACAGTCCACGACTCTTAAGATACAGAATAGAAATATAACCAAACAAACAGGCAATTCTATTTGTTTGCTCTTGCCAAATATATACCAATTACAGAAAACATCAGAACAATAAATGAGAGATATAGAGTAGAATATAAAATAATATAAAGCTGTATTTCCTCCAGAGCTAGCACACTGCTTATGAATAAAATAAATTTAAGAGGCTCAAAGATGCAGTGGATCCCGAAAGCTAAAATTACTGTCATTTAGAATTGCAGGAACAGCACCACATGGGAAGAAGTAAGTTAAAACTCAACATAAGTCTATTCAAATGTATCATGTATATCTTATGCATGTGCTTATGTATTTCCTTGGCAACATACAAACACATTTAAAGAAGATATACATGCACTTCATACATAAGTGAAGTTTAGACTCATAACAAATCTACTGATTTATTGCATGGATTAATTATACGTAAATCTGCCAGTTACTTGAACTATTAAATATATTATGTGACATAGCAAGTACTAATTGATACAAAATGTTAATCCTGATTTACATAAAGAATATGTAGAAACAATATGAAGAAACAATATGAAGAATATTGTTTGATTAACATTGCTTTGGATGGATGCAACATGGATACGAGGCTTTCCCTGATTTTTTGTAAATTCAAAATTTTGAAAGACAAATTTAAAAGTAAATGGAAACAGAAAAACTCTTAAATATAATTTAAGTAACACTGAGTCACCTAGTACAAAAAATGGATAGCATAGAATTTTAATTAATAAATAAATGAATGAATGAATGAATGAATGAATGAATGAATGAATGCTATTAATGTTATACTATATTTAACATCACAATTCAATGGTAGTCTTTTAGAGGGATGTAGCCAAGGAGACTTTGCCAACCTTGATATTGTTTGATATACTGTATAGCAATACTGTAATAGAGAAATTATGTAAATTCAACCAGAATGCTTGTGGTTGAATTCTACCAACAAATATTTTCTATTTAATTGTGAGGCCTATTTCACAGACATATTGTAATCTGACATTGTCTGTGTGATAAAATCCAAGGTTCAGAGGGTAGCAGTTTAGGAACAGATGGCCAAGGTTTGAAGTGAGTTAGTAATAACAAGAATATATTGCTGTGATAAATATTTCAAAGGAGTGTGTATACCTGCACAAGCACACAGACATATACACATACACAGAGAGAGGGGGGAAGAGAGAGGGGGGAGAGAAAAGAGTGTTTTTGAGCAGATCAGTTATCTTGAATTTCTAGCTCCCTTTTTCAGGGGTTTTGTTATTATTCTTGGAAATCTCAGGATTTTGCAAAATTAAGTTTCAAACCATTACTGCCATGGCACAAATAAAAAGCTGTTTCCTGTCTTTACAGAACTGAGGAAGGGCAAGCACTTTTTCTTAACAGGAAGAAAAATGCTAGCCTTCTTTCAAATGTGTTTCCAATAAGAATCTCCCATCTTATTTTTTTTTAAATAAAACAACCACCCAGGTATGATTTTTATAGATGCATTTAACATGAGACAGAAACCTGGATTACTAAATTACAAAACCCAAAGTAATAGCTTTACAATTCGAGTTTCCTTTTGCTGTATCTCAGATTTAACTGTAGTTTAAATTTCTGTTTCAACATTTTACTTGACCTATTATAAAAAAATTACATATCCCATTAAAATCTCATTTGCCACATAAACGTCAAACTTCCATAGTATCCAAAAATACTTGAACTGATACTCTCCCCACTTCAGGATCTTTCCAATCTTAGAAGTGCACAAATTTCTTATGTACATATGTTTCACTTTCTATTCTCCTGCAGTGGATTTTATACTGCAAATGACTAATTGGCTGTACTGTATTTGTTCCATTATTTCAATGTTTCTATTTACTGACTTCTGTTTGTAAAGTTGTGTTCATAATAATCAAGCCTGTTTGTAACAAAATGTTTAATATTTTAAAATCTTTATTTTTTAAAAATAGCCATGTTACTATTAATGAACCCTGTGTTGAAAGGCTGCCAAAATGCCTCTCTTCCGAGGATTCAATTTTCCCGTTGGGAGAGCTCCGGCACAAGGATATGGACAACTGCTTGAAAGCTGGATCTTTTTTATTTTTCAGGAAGGCAAGAGATAGCGAGGAGGCTGCGTTCCTGGGCTTCGTATGGTAAGTCGCTTGATTTTTATACCCTTTTTCTCCTTTTGTGTGTGAGTGCTTGTATTTGTACTTAATGTTTCAAATCCTGTCAGGGTTTGTCTTTCTGCCAGAGGATAAACTCCGCGGGGTGCAGAAGGAAAACTTTGTGGGGTAGATTGATTGTATTATCAGTTTCGTTCTAATCTCTTTTAGCTTTACAATAGTTTCTTATATTTGTTTTGTGGCAATCTCCTGTCTGTCTCCTTTATAATCTATATATGTTTTTGTGTCTTTTGTCTGTTTGTTTTGCTGATTTGGCATGTCTCGTGTTTGTAAGGGTTTTCTTTTCTTATTTCTCTAGTTTTCTTAATTATTTGGGCTTTTGTCTAAAAGGCTTCTTTAACACCTTTTCTTTGATTCCTTTTCCTATGCAAGTTTGTTTTATGGCTGGCCTGATGTTCCCTTTGGGCTTTTCCTGCTTGAGTGGCACCACTGTCCTTGTGAAGTTCCCTTTCCACACCTGTAAACATTTGTTAGTGGCTGTAAATTAATTTAAGAGAAACTGATTGAACTATTGTTTTAGGGTGTCAGAGATTGTTCTGTGGTTAAGAATATCTATTGCTAGACATGAAAAAAACAGGAAATTAGAGACTTCCTTACTGGCCTATCAAAGAAACAGATTCTTAGCCCATCATACAACATGGAGAAAAGAAAGTTAAAAGCTTCAAGAATACCTTGTTAATAAATTCAGCTATAGAGGACTAGAGGAGTGTATTCCAATATCAATTTTTAAGATTTTGAATGCTGACTACTAATTCCTGACTTTAAATGTCATTAATGAAAGGGCATATGAATCTTGCTTCCTTGATTATGGTCTGCAGTTAAGGAACTTGATACACTATCCATTTTGTTCAATAGTAGATGAGAGTGCATGTGTTGCATAGCTGGAAAAAATCTCGTCCAAGTCCAAATAACGATGAAAAATCTTTTGACAACCTAGGGCCGAGACCATTTAGGTGAAAATTATCAAGAAAAAAGTTAACAAATGTAAATCTTGGGGAAGATTTGGGACATATGTCTCTGTGCCTGGGGGCACACGCCTTCAGTGAGTCTTGACTTGTGACTGCTTGGACTAGAACCAGTAGCTTTTTCTGGTGAGATTTTTGGAAATAGTTTGTTATTGAGAAACTGAAGGACTGACCAAGATACAAAACATTAAAGGCATACCACCAAATGGGGGAGTTTACCTTAGCAATGCAATCACAAGCAGCCTACAGGAAGCCTATAACTTACAGTCTTCTGATTTCTGATCAGTACTTTTCATTCAGGGTACTACAGCAAACAGGTTCCTACTTCATTAGTGGAATACATAAAACAACCCTCCTATTCTCTTTCCCATTTGTTTGGGTGTGACTAGGATCAAACCCTGTTTAAAATCTTTGCTTAATTCCTTCAGACCCAAATTATACTTCCCTCTATGTCCCAGACAAACTTACCTGAACCAAAGAACAGAAGCCTCATCAATCACAAGTGGACAAAACAAGGAAATTGCAACCTAAAAAAATCCCAATTCTCAATGCTTCATCAACTGATGACTTCAACCTTTAACTTCTTTAATCTTCTCTGCTATCCTCTTCAAAGACTCATTTTGCCTAACAATGTAACTCACCCACTTATACAAACAAAGACCTCAGCTAGCTTCCCCAAACTGGCCAACCAATCAGATCACCAGGATTTCAGACCTTGTAACCCTCAAGGAAAGTTGGATGTGATAGTGAGACTTCTGACATTCTAGGAATCTTGTTTTTTATCTTGTTCTTTTTAAAAAGTCTTTAAGGCTTAAATCTGAATGCTGTAACAGTATAATTCAGGAACATTTGAGGCCAGTCTGGGTTAAGAAATCTTGCTGAAAGATTTTTACCTCTATACCAATACTGAAAACTTTGGGGGGAAATGCATAGCAAGTGACAAAGCCAGGCAGAAATCCAAGTTATGCAGTTGAGATAAGCTGAGAGTTGGGGACTGGCCTGAGAGCAGCAGTATAAGTAGCAGAATCTCTTCCTGTTACTGGTTCTCAAAAAAAAATCCCTACCTTCCAGAACAGCAGGGAAAGCTTTTTCAAGGGTGTTAAAATAATTGCTCTTGAAAACTTTTTGCAGTTTGTCATGTCAACTAATTTTACAAATCAAGATTGTTCAATTGCCATTGTTTTTACTCTGCTTTGCTCTTTGTGGAGGGACATCTTTGAACTAGTTTGATGAAAGTACATGATTTCTTTCCTTACAATTGAAATGGGAAAATAAATAAGATTGAAACCAGCCTTTTAATTAGAGCCCCCATCAAATAAATAAGTTGAAAGAGCACCAAGGCCTCCACAGAGCCTGCTCATAAGTTACTTAAGAGATGAAAATTACATGTGGTTTATTCACAAAAATGTTACAAAGATGGAAACAGGCAAATGGTCTCAACTCAATGGTAGAACATACAGAACCAAAAAAGATACATCTCAAACCAGGTCTAATTCTTTGGGAATAAGTTCTATCTAGGTGAATTGTCCAAATTTAATAATCTATTGTGCATAGAATCCTTTACTTGTCTTTTTGTAACATCAAACCCATCTACTTTAACGGAAGGGTAAATGAGGCTGCTTGGCCTTGGATTGTTTAAAAAGAAACTAAAAAGGCAGACAAAATGGCTGTAAGCCTAAGGCATACCGAAGGAGAGATATACTAGCCAAGACTACCCAAAGTGGCTTATCCAATGACTAGTTCCAATGGAAACCATTTCGAAATCCAGTTTATTCATTTTAAACCAGAGTTAGGCTTCGCAAAGTCTGAATTAATGTCATTCAGAACTTCTGCAAAGCCAAGGCTTTCTTTAACTCTCCTTCCGTATTCTTTCCTCCCGAAATCTTCGTCACTTGGTTCAAGGTTTCCTGCCTACCAAAAATGTTTTAGCATTTCATATTGAATGGAAAGCTGTGAGTTCCCCGTCTACAGCAATCGAAGTCTTCCGCCTCATTTCGAGACGGCGCCCACAGCCCACCTGATGCAGCGCCGGAATTAAAGGGCGCCGGCACCCCGCGAAGTTCATGCCTTGGAGCTGTTGAGGTTTTACTGTTAAGGAGAATACCGTTTAAGTGAGGAAAACGGGACCCGCTCCCACGAAAAAGCTCGTGGCCACGTCAACAGGGCTCTGCAGACCCGTTTTGCAAGCGTTTCATCACCTACCGATTTCGGAACTCCTGATTGTACAGAGCCTTCAAGGCAATCTTGCTGTTCAGTGCCTGGTTGCCAGAATCCTGCAGGAACTGTAAAAACTGCTCTCCGATCTCCCTCATTTGCCTAAGGGTAAATTTGGGCATGGTGATCCGTTTCGCGGGAGCTGCTTCGCTTTCCCTCGGCTCACTCATAAGCAGCTGCGCCTGCAATTTTGGCACCGCTTCCTCTTTGCCTGGGGAAGTACCCAAGTGCCGATCCTGAGCTCCTCCTCTTGTAAGCTAAAACTTGAAAGAGGGAGAAACGAAACTGAAACCGCACCGGTCCCTCTGCCAATCCGAGCGTTTTCTCAGGAGCTCCGCTCCGTTGCCCCAGGAAACAAGATACGAAAGCTAAGAAAGGACATTTTATCATCTATTTTCCTGCTCGTTTGAAGTTTCCGAAAATGAGGTGCTTTTCCGTAAATACGAAAAGTTATAAAGGTCACACATAAAATGAAGTCTCATCATTATCACAGACGCTTCTAGAATTATTTCGTTAGTCACATAGAAACCTGGGTCAATCGTTTTTATGATCTTTTTATTACATCGAGGAGTGAATTAGGAATTTATGCCTTAGAGGCATCGAATTATTTCATTAATTTGTATCCCACCCTTATTTTTACAAATGACTCAAGGCATTTGTAATTGTAGCCCACATACTTTCCTCCTATTCTCCCCACAAGAGCCACCCTGTAAGGCGAGTGGGGCTGATACTGACTGGCCTGGCTTTCACAGCTAAGGTGGGACTAGATTTACTGCATCTCCGATCAGGAGAAACTGGTCTTTATTGCATTACTTACCAATCTATAAGCCCAATACGCATCATTACAATATATAGCGTAGAAAGTTAGCATCCACCCCTCTCCCAGAAGAATGAAATTTAAACAGATTAAACAGATAATCAGAGTCGGAAGAGACCTTGTAGGTCATCTAGTCCAACCCCCTGCCCAAGCAGGAGACCCTACACCATTTCTGAAAGATGGGAGTCCAATCTCTTCTTGAAAGTCTCAAGTGATGATGCTCCCACTGTTGCAGCAATCTTAGTCACCAGTTCAGGACACAAGACCACGAAGGGTTGGAGAAACAGGTTTATTTGCACAAAGGTTCAGAGCATTAACATGTCAAATTCTGAACCCCAGGTTACTCACGAGGTGTGACTTTTATTCAGCTTATAACCCTGGACTTGCTTAGGGTATTACTGTTATCTGGATATACCATGACAGAAAAGGAGAAGTTTTCATATGGCTCTCTTGCTACATTTTCCATATATGGTATTATCTTACACCATCTGTTACTTCGGGTAGGCCACCTCTTGCAATACATTACAGAAAATATCTAGTACATAGGTCACCTTACATCCATAGGTCAGGTTACATGTTACATTCAGCAAGTCCCTGTATTTTCTAAAGCTTGCAACATATAAGTCAAATAACTTCTGCTAATAGTATTAATACCTTTTGGTATTTTCTCACGCTGCTTCACCACAACTTCCAAGGGCAAGCTGTTTCATTGGTTGATTGTTCTCACTGTCAGAAAGTTTCTCCTTATTTCCAGTTAAATCTCTCATTGTTCAGTTTCCATCCATTATTCTTTGTCTGGCTTTCGGGTGCTTTAGAAAATAGCTTCACTCCTTCTTCTCTGTGGCAGCCCCTCAAATATTGGATCACTGCTATCATGTCTCCCCTGGTCCTTCTCTTCACTAGACTAGCCATGCCAGTTCCTGTAACTTTTCTTCATATGTTTTAATCTCCAGTCCCCTAATCATCCTGGTTGCTCTTCTCTGTACTTTTAGTCTCAACATCTTTTTTTATAGTGTAGCTGTAGCCTAAGGCTTTATAGAGTGGTATTAGTACCTCACTTGATCTTGATTGTATCCCTCTGTTAATGCAATTTAGGATTGCATTAGCTTTTTTGACTGCTGCTGCATACTGCTGGCTCATATTTAGCTGGTTGTCCACTAAGACTCCAAGATCCCTCTCACAATTACTGCTATTGAGCCTGGTTTCACCCAGTCTATATGACTGGAGATATTTCAGGAAATATTAAAAAGGTAGGATATTATCTCTCCCGGGATGAGAAAAGGAGAAACATGCTTTTGGAAAGCAGCCCCCACCTTTGTTAATAGCCCCAGAAAGACTGGGTCATCCTAGCTACAAAACAAAAGGCTCTAGGGTGATAAGATTAGCCCTCTCTCAAGATCGAAACCAAGACAAAGCCATTAAAACATAATGAGAATTCCCCAACACCCTTTCAGAACACAACCCTCTTCATTACATAATCACTCAGCAAGAGTCAATCCAGCCTGGGATGCAGACAGCCTACAAAGTTAGCTAAGACCCCTGCTTCTTGGGAGTCTGACAAACAATAGGATACATTTGTGCCACAGGAACAGGAAGCAAGTTCAAAGTTCAAGAGAGGGTATCTCTCTGTCTCTCTCTGCCTCCCTCCCTCCCTCCCTCTGCCATGTGCTCAATTGCCCAGGACCTCAAACCATATGGTCCTTTCCACAATTAAACTGTCTTTCCAAAGATATTTCCAATGTCTTTCTCCCCGCTTGGAACTGAACTGAGATGGACATTTTTTCCAACAATATTGATCTATTGCACAAAATGCACTTTGCAGATTAAAAATGGTGTTGTGGAAAAATCCCAATGAGAGACAAAAGAAAGCAACACAAACAATATTTCTTAGTTTAAGTTTCAGAGGTTTATTACATGAGCAATTTGGAACATGGACAGCCATCGTAGTATCACAACATTACTTACATTAATCACCCATTGTAATGAGGCCCAATGACATAGCAGGTCCAGCATGGACAGCTATAGGCCAATGGCCCTGAGCTGATTCGAGCTCTATCTTTTATACCCTTTTCTAATGGCTACACCCAGATGGGTACTTTCTTGCAACATTTCATAAATCATTTCCATATGATAGGCTGCTACAACAAAATAACTTTTTAAAAGGATTTAAAAATGGTCCTATATAATGCCTTTCTAATTTTGATTCCTAAATTGAACCTTTATACTTGTTTAGCTACTTGTGCATATCCTTCCTTTGATTAAGATGATTTTGCTTTCATGTCCTGAACTAGCAGCTGTCTTATGTATATTTTGTTATATAATTTGCATAATGAAAGTTTAGGTATAATTTGAGTTATATGGTTTGGATAATGAAACATCTGCAAGAAAACAACCAACCTCAGAGAGTGCCAAGGACTCTCAAACAAATATACACAAAGTGCTTATCAGCACTTCTCTGCAACCAAATGTCCTTCCATTGTGAACCAGGCATTCCATAAAACTGATATGATTAACTACAGCATTTACTTTTGCTACTAAACCACAACATTCTGTTTTAAAGTGAGATCAGTCTTGTGTTGCATCTTTCTATGTCCACAATAAATTAATCAGAGTGTTCAGTCTTTGCATTTTTAATTTAACAGTTTTCAGGCAATATTTCTGCTAATGCCTAGGTAGCTCCCTTGTCATTATTAAAAATCCATAATATTAATATCTATTCCTTCTTACATAAGAGTTTGTATCCACAAATAATTAACTTTGGATGTAACTTGTAAGGAGATAAACTGATTTCAAGCAAACTTTTACACTTTTGTTGTTAGCAGGGATCTAGCTAATTATAATACAGGCCAAGTAGTTTGGTTTTCTGTTGCGATATCACCCAATGATCCAATGATACCATACCTGCCAGGTA